GTGTAAACACTTCAGAGGGGTAAACGAATTGGTGCCACAGATGTTAACTCCCTCGCCTGGTACACAGGAGGTCGTGGGGTCGATCCCGACCCTGACGCCTACATATTTGGAGTTTGCGTGTGCTCCCGCTGGTGGCGTGGATTTTTCTCCGGGTCCTGTGTAGCTCTTTTTCAGAAGCGACCTGGCCACAAATGATAGCTCCACCAAGTGACTCATCATCATCACGTGGAACTGTATAGAAGCAGCCAAATGCTCTAAAAGGCATGTTTATAAACGTGGACGGAGAAGAATCCACGCGACCACGGGGAGAACACGCAAACTCCAAATGTACAGGTGGCAGGGTCGGGTCCGAACCCACAGCCTTCTGTATACCAGGCGAGGTAGTTAGGTCTCCCTTACCATAAACTTATAACCAAGTATGATCCTGCATGGTCACGTAAATAATAACGATGACAACTGACAGCACTTTCAATCCACCGCTTGATCAAGGCATCCCCTCTCGCCGTGCTGGTCACGGGGTGGTTTTTGGCCATACTTCACCACAATGCTCAGTGCAGGTCGGTGATGCGGAGAGGCCCAGAACCGGTTCCGGAAATCACTTGCAACCGACGTTAGGCACGACCAGGGATCGAACTCAGGTCCGTCCGCAGGTCCCCAAGTGCAGTGTGCTAACCGCTGCACCGCCGCTCCCCCCCCCCATTCCCAGTAGAATACTAACTGGAAACCACGCAGAAAGAGTGGCCGTGGCTGATAAGGAACTAAACCAAAGCCATCGCGCATGGGCTGAACTGTTGGGGGGTTTTTATTTTGGCTTGAGGTTAAACAGTCGAAAGGTTTGTGTCAAGCACAGGCGATTGGGAACAAGCTCATTTAACCGTCTTTGTGTTTATTTTGTTCTCCCCCCCCCCCCCCCCCGTACGGTGCGAAAGAAGTTCAACACACAAACGTAACCACCGAACATCATCCCCGAACGGAATAAAGTGGACTACCGAGGGCCGAGTAGGGACTTTCGAAAACATTTGGCGGGCGACCCACGCTCACCACCCCCCCCCCCCCCCCCCCTGCAATATGGCCCTTGCAGTGACCAGGAGCAGTGGCTAACACACTCACGCACATGTCATTCACACACACACACAGAACAGACTGTTAGGGCAGGTTGCTGTTATAGCGAGCAGCACCTATGAAGGCCGGCACAGCGCAAGAGGGAGTGGCGGGGCCTAGCACCACGCCCGGCCGCCTTTGTCTTCCCACCGCCGATGTGCTGTACACACATATTCGTCAACCGATGTTGGCCGTGAGCGGGAACTGAACTCGCGAGTCGCCAGGTGCGAATGGGCACATTGCACTAACCACTTGCGCCACCGCTCCACACACACACAAGATAAAGATCCCCCCAACCCAACCGCAGAGCTCTGAACAGACTTTTGGGACAAGTGCTGTTAGCGAACACAACAACAACAGCAGCCACCATTCGCTCCTCAGTGACGGTGAGGTCACCACGGCGCTTGTGCCAGGCTAGGTGCACTTCCGAGGCGAGCACACACACACACAAATGCATGTTTACAAGTACATGATGTTTAAATGTGTAGGTGTCTCACTCTGGTTTTATTAAACAGGCGCTGTAAAATATTAACTACTTCATTACCAGCTGTCCAAACGTCATGCCTACCACGTGTTTGTGTGTGTGTGTACACACAGGTATTTGTGTGTGTGTGTACACACAGGTGTTTGTGTGTGTGTGTGTACACACAGGTGTGTGTGTGTGCGATCTTGCAGTATACACAAACACACAGGTGTTTGTGTGTGTGTATACACACACAGGTGTTTGTGTTTGTGTGTACATAAACACAAACACAGGGTGTTTGTGTGTGTGTATACACACACCTGTGTGTTTGTGTGTACACAAACACACACACAGGTGTTTGTGTGTGTTTGTGTACACAGACACAAACAAGTGTTTGTGTTTGTGTACACGTACACACCTGTGTGTGTACGTACACACAAACACCTGTGTTTGTGTGTACGTACACACACACAAACACCTGTGTGTGTATACACAACACACACACGCGTGTTTGTGTATGTGTGTGTACATACACACATACACAAACAGGTGTGTTTGTGTGTGTGTATACACAACACACACACACGTGTTTGTGTATGTGTGTATGTACACATACACAAACAGGTGTGTGTGTGTGTACACAAACACAAACAGGTGTGTGTGTGTGTGAGTACACAAACACAAACAGGTGTGTGTGTGTGTGTGCGATCTTGCAGTGGGGTGCTCGGTAGCGGTTAGCGTCTACGCTGCGCTACGAACCCGGCGATCCAAGTTCGATTCCCGCTCACGGCCAACACCACCGGTGACGATTATCTGAACCGGTCCTGGGCATCCTCCCCTAGGTCGACTCAGCCTCAAATGAGTTACCCGGTGCTGCGTGTGAACATCGCCACTGGGAAGACAAAGGCGGCCGGGGTCGTGATGCTGGCCACCCACCCCCCCCGTGTGCCACAGAGCCGGTAGCCTTCACAGGTGCTGCTACACTTGCCCCAACAGTCCGTGAAGGCTACACGGGGCATCTTTGTCCGAGGCGACATTTAAACTTGCCACTCGTCATGATGATCGATCGAACGCACGAGGCGATCAGCACGGCGCGTCAAAGTGACCCTAGATGATCATCGCCAGCGACTTTGTCTTCATTGTTATTACCACCACAGCCATCGTCATGGCAACGGTCATTCTAAACATACATCAACATCGTCGTCACCATCACTATGGATCCATCATCAACATGATCATTATAATTTGTGACATCACCATAATCAATGATGATCAATTCACTGCTGGATGAAGGCTTACCCAAATCACTACCATTGCCATCATCATCAGAGCCATCATCATCACAATCAATGTTTTAGCAATTATCACCATGATTACGACAGAGTTCACAGTGACTGTAATCGTCGTGACGGCGTCTTGTTGATGTTGTGATTTTAGGATGATGGTCATTGTTGGAACGATGATTCAAGATCACGACGCCTGAGCATCGACGTGATGATGATGGTCGTGATACCTGTGATGACTATAATGTTGACGGTGGTGATGATGATGATGGTTGTGATACCTGTGATGGCTATAATGTTGACAGTGATGATGATGATGGTTGTGATACCTGTGATGGCTATAATGTTGACGGTGGTGATGATGATGGTTGTGATACCTGTGATGGCTATAATGTTGACAGTGATGATGATGATGGTTGTGATACCTGTGATGGCTATAATGTTGACTGTGGTGATGATGATGATGGTTGTGATACCTGTGATGGTTATAATGTTGACAGTGATGATGATGATGGTTGTGATACCTGTGATGGCTATAATGTTGACGGTGGTGGTGATGATGGTTGTGATACCTGTGATGGCTATAATGTTGACGGTGATGATGGTTGTGATACCTGTGATGGCTATAATGTTGACGGTGGTGATGATGATGATGATGGTTGTGATACCTGTGATGGCTATAATTTTGACGGTGATAATGATGATGGTTGTGATACCTGTGATGGCTATAATGTTGACGGTGGCGATGATGATGATTGTGATACCTGTGATGGCTATAATGTTGATAGTGGTGGTGATGATGATGATGGTTGTGATACCTGTGATGGCTATAATGTTGACGGTGGTGATGATGATGATGGTTGTGATACCTGTGATGGCTATAATGTTGACGGTAGTGATGATGATGATGGTTGTGATACCTGTGATGGCTATGTTGACGGTGGTGATGATGATGATCGTTGTGATACCTGTGATGACTATAATGTTGACGGTGATGATGGTTGTGATACCTGTGATGGCTATAATGTTGACGGTGATGATGACGATGGTTGTGATACCTGTGATGGCTATAATGTTGACGGTGATGATGATGATGGTTGTGATACCTGTGATGACTATAATGTTGACGGTGGTGATGATGTCGTGGTGATGGCCATGCCACTGATGATGATGTCTGTGATGATGATGATGGTGGTGGTACATGTGATGACTATAATGTTGATGGTGGTAGTATAGTGATGGTGATGATGTCGTCATGATGGCCATACCACTGATGTCTGTGATGATGATGAACATTCAGCAGCATTCAATATAATCCTGTGATGGTTGAATTATTTACGACTATTTAACACCAATGACGCTTTAACAATATTATCGATGACGATGCATTACTGATGCTCACGAATGACATTGACTCTTGGTTATTTATGATAAGTCATTAATTATTGATGATTTTAACACTGATTTATTGCTGATGTACAGTACCCTTGAACGTATACGATAGTTACACTGATCGCGTATTATAAACGTCAATAACTCGACTGTTTATCGATCACCATTACAATACTGCACTGGTGATTATTTCGTCGCAATAATCATTAACGATGACGGCGTAATAGAGAAAAGTTATCTCGAGAGAAGAAATCATAACGATGGTGATGATGGTGACGATGATGATGACGATGGTGATGGTGACGATGGTGGTGGTGACGATGATGATGGTGACGATGATGATGATGATGACTATAATAATGACTATAATGATGATGACTATAATGATGGTGATGATGGTGACGATGATGACTATAATGATGGTGACGATGGTGATGGTGACTATAATGATGATGACTATAATGATGATGACTATAATGATGGTGATGATGATGGTGACGATGATGATGACTATAATGATGGTGACGATGGTGATGGTGACTATAATGATGACTATAATGATGGTGACGATGATGATGATGATGACGATGATGGTGACGATGATGATGACGATGATGGTGACGATGATGACTATAATGATGGTGATGATGATGGTGACAACGGCGATGATGACGATGATGGTGAACACTCTGGAAATGATTGCCGGCCTTCATCCAGCAGTGGATCGATCTACGAGACCGAGGGAGCCGAGGCGAACTCACAAATTTCGACCTCCTCAGCTGCTCCGGGACCTCGTCCGAAGCCACCGCCGACGAGGAGGAGGCGGATGAGGTGTTGGTGTTGTTGGTGGTGGAGGTGGTGTTGGTGGCGGTGGTGGAGACGCCGAAGCTGCCCCTGTGGGATGATGACGATTCTCGCCGTAGCAGCTTGGAGGCAGCAGCAGCAGCAGGATGAGCAGCAGGAGGAGGAGGGGGAGAGGAGTCCAGCCCCGCCGCTTTCTCTCCCTCGCTCTCCATCACGGTCGTCGCTGCTGTTGATGTTGTTGTTGATGCTGTTGTTGTTGATGTTGTTGTTGATGTTCTTGATGCTGTTGTTGTTGTTGTTGACGGCGGTACAGCTAGCAACAGCGAGGACTGTGCCGTAACGCACGCACGTGTCACCACTACAGGCTTGTGTGTGTCTGTATCTGTGTGTATGTGGGTGTATGTGTGTCTGTGTGTATCTGTATGTGTCTGTCTGTCTGTGTGTGTATCTGTGTGTATGTGGGTGTATGTGTGTCTGTCTGTGTGTATCTGTGTGTGTGTGTCTGTGTGTATCTGTGTGTCTGTCTGTGTCTGTCTGTGTGTGTGTGTCTGTCTGTGTGTGTGTGTGTCTGTGTGTGTGTCTGTCTGTGTGTATCTGTGTGTCTGTGTGTCTGCGGGTGTATGTGTGTGTCTGTCTGTGTGTATCTGTGTGTGTCTGTGTGTATCTGTGTGTGTCTGTCTGTGTGTGTGCGTGTGTCTGTGTGTGTGTGTATGTGTGTGTCTGTCTGTGTGTATCTGTGTGTGTCTGTCTGTGTCTGTGTGTGTGTCTGTGTGTGTGTCTGTGTGTCTGCGTGTCTGTGTGTGTATCTGCGTGTCTGTGTGTGTCTCTGTGTGTATCTGCGTGTATCTATGCGTGTGTCTGAGTGTCTCTGTGTGTGTCTGAGTGTGTGTCTGCGTGTGTGTGTCTGAGTGTGTGTCTGCGTGTGTGTGTCTGAGTGTGTGTCTGCGTGTGTGTGTCTCTGTGTGTCTCTGTGTGTGTGTCTGAGTGTCTCTGTGTGTGTGTCTGAGTGTGTCTGCGTGCGTGCGTGTGTCTGAGTGTGTGTCTGCGTGTATGTGTCTCTGTGTGTATCCGCGTGTGTCACCACTTGCTGCTGCTGCCACTGGAACCCAGCGTGCTGGGCACATGGGGTGGGGCCCGGCGCTTTTACAAGCTGCACCCCAAAAATATATCACCACCACCCCCCACTACCACCGCCACCCCCCCACCACCACCCCCCACCACCACCCTCCACCACCCCCACCATCACCCCCCACCACCACCACCCTCCACCACCCACCACCCCCACCACCACCCTCCACCACCCACCACCATCACCCCCCACCATCACCACTCCCCACCCCCCAACAACACCCCCCCACCACTCACCACGCGCCACCACCACCTACCCCCACCCCACCAACTCACGCCATTCGCCACCAAGTGACGGTGACGTCACCACGGCGCTCGTGCCAGGCTAGGTGCACCTTGAGGTCACGTGAAGTGTCGAAGCCTCGCTGGCAAGAGGAGGTCACGGGACAGACCCAGCAGGTGCCACGCCTTGGCTGACTGAGATGACTGGCCGATGCACCACCAGCTGTGCCAGGCTAGGTGCAGGAGGTCACGGGACAGAGCCAGCAGGTGCCATGGCTTGGCTGACTGAGATGACTGCCCGATGCACCACCAGCTGTACCCCCTACTGTGCCAGGCTAGGTGCAGGAGATCACGGGACAGACCCAGTAGGTGCCATGGCTTGGCTGACTGAGATGACTGCCCGATGCACCACCAGCTGTACCCCCTACTGTGCCAGGCTAGGTGCAGGAGGTCACGGGACAGACTTGGCAGGTGCCATGGCTTGGCTGACTGAGATGACTGGCCGATGCACCACCAGCAGTACCCCCTACTGTACCAGCTTGTATTTTATCCGCCCGGCGCTCCGCTCGTTGTTGTGAGCGTCGCTCCTCTGCCCTCCGTTGTTGCTGGAGGGCGACTGCCTCCAACTGCCCAGTAGCAGCAGCAGCGTCCTTCACGAGCCTCCTCCATATGGACACAGACACATGCACGCACACACATGTACGATCAGTGGGGCGTTCACATTTTCTAAATATAAGAATAATTAAGCCTAATTAAATGAATCCGCCCATGCCCAATGTATGGGCCCGAGCCAGCCATACCCCAGGAAACATTGAACGTCTGGGGCAACGTTGGGTATAAAAAACAAAAATTCCTGGGACTCTATGTCAGTCTGGGATGCCACGTGAGTCTACGGGTTTTCATACAAGCCCACGATTCTCAACATAAGTCTACTGGGTCTCTGTGTACGTGTAATGAGTTTCTTTGTAAGTCTTTGGATTGTCTGCATAAGTCATCAGCTCTCTAACACTCGAGTGTAATCACAGGCATTGGCTGGAACCCGGAATCGAACCGAGGCAATCAATGGTGCCATGCGCATCGTTTCTGACATCGAGGCCACCCAGACACCCACCACGAGGATTGGTGCATCCATAATTGAGGGCCCTGGGAGAGCAGGCCACAGCCTTCATCCAGCAGTGTATAGGATCATGGCAGGTGATAACGAATGAGATGGGAATCTGGACCAAGCTGGCATCGTTGTTCAGACCTGGTAACCTCCATCACCTGGGTTAGATCGCGTGAATATCGACGTGTCCGTTCACCCACCACCAACCCTACACAGCCAATTATTAAGCTTTGTCTCCAGTGGCCACCAGTCTCTTCACACTCACAACTGACTCCCCTGTCATTACCTCGCGTGGCCACCAGTCCCTTCACACTCACAGCTGACTCCCCTGCCATTATCTCCCGTGGCCACCAGTCCCTTTGCACTCACAACTGACTCCCCTGTCATTACCTGCCGTGGCCACTAGTCCCTTCACACTCACAGCTGACTCCCCTGTCATTACCTCGCTTGGCCACCAGTCCCTTCACACTCACAGCTGACTCCCCTGCCATTACCTCCCGTGGCCACCAGTCCCTTTGCACTCACAACTGACTCCCCTGTCATTACCTCCCGTGGCCACCAGTCCCTTCACACTCACAGCTGACTCCCCTGTCATTACCTCCCGTGGCCACCAGTCCCTTCGCACTCACAACTGACTCCCCTGTCATTACCTCCCGTGGCCACCAGTCCCTTCGCACTCACAGCTGACTCCCCTGTCATTACCTCCCGTGGCCACCAGTCCCTTCACACTCACAACTGACTCCCCTGTCATTACCTCCCGTGGCAACCAGTCCCTTCACACCCACAACTGACTCCCCTGTCATTACCTGCCGTGGCCACTAGTCCCTTCACACTCACAGCTGACTCCCCTGTCATTACCTCGCGTGGCCACCAGTCCCTTCACACTCACAACTGACTCCCCTGTCATTACCTCCCGTGGCCACCAGTCCCTTCACACTCACAACTGACTCCCCTGTCATTACCTGCCATGGCCACCAGTCCCTTCACACTCACAGCTGACTCCCCTGTCATTACCTCCCGTGGCCACTAGTCCCTTCACACTCACAGCTGACTCCCCTGTCATTACCTCACGTGGCCACCAGTCCCTTCACACTCACAACTGACTCCCCTGTCATTACCTCCCGTGGCCACCAGTCCCTTCACACTCACAACTGACTCCCCTGTCATTACCTGCCATGGCCACCAGTCCCTTCACACTCACAGCTGACTCCCCTGTCATTACCTTCCGTGGCCACTAGTCCCTTCACACTCACAACTGACTCCCCTGTCATTACCTCCCGTGGCCACCAGTCCCTTCGCACTCACAACTGACTCCCCTGTCATTACCTGCTGTGGCCACCAGTCCCTTCGCACTCACAACTGACTCCCCTGTCATTACCTCCCGTGGCCACCAGTCCCTTCGCACTCACAACTGACTCCCCTGTCATTACCTGCCGTGGCCACCAGTCCCTTCGCACTCACAACTGACTCCCCTGTCATTACCTTGCGTGGCCACCAGTCCCTTCGCACTCACAACTGACTCCCCTGTCATTACCTTCCGTGGCCACCAGTCCCTTCGCACTCACAACTGACTCCCCTGTCATTACCTCCCGTGGCCACCAGTCCCTTCGCACTCACAACTGACTCCCCTGTCATTACCTCGCGTGGCCACCAATCCCTTCGCACTCACAACTGACTCCCCTGTCATTACCTCGCGTGGCCACCAGTCCCTTCACACTCACAACTGACTCCCCTGTCATTACCTCCAGCGACCGCTGGTGGCATCTCTGGCGCGTGACCATTCCTCGATGCCACCACCCGCATGGTCCGCCGTGTGCTCTCGAGGGCTGGGTCACGCTCTCTCGACAAAACGGGCACGCGTCTTTGGGGATGGCCGTGCTGTTTTATTTGCGTAGGGGTTTTTTTGTTTCTTGCCGTTGGTTTTTCACACCTGATGATGACCGTTTGCGTTATGGTCGAAACGTCGTGAGATTTTTTATTGTTTTATATATATATTATTGTTTCCCTTCAACGTGACTTTACCGAAAGAGCTAAGCATATAGATCCATAGACTCGCACAGAGACTCATAGACGCAAACATAGACCCATAGACTCAAACATAGACCCACACAGAGACCCATAGACTGTCACAGAGACCCATAGACCCACACAGAGACCCATAGACCCACACAGAGACCCATAGACTGTCACAGAGACCCATAGACTCACACAGAGACCCATAGACTCGCGCAGAGACCCACCCTGTCAGTCACACAGAGACCCATAGACTCACACAGAGACCCATAGACTCGCACAGAGACCCATAGACTCACACAGAGACCCATAGACTCGCACAGACACCCATAGACTGTCACAGAGACCCATAGACTCACACAGAGACCCATAGACTCGCACAGACACCCATAGACTGTCACAGAGACCCATAGACTCACGCAGAGACCCATAGACTCACACAGAGACCCACCCTGTCAGTCACACAGAGACCCATAGACTCACACAGAGACCCATAGACTCGCACAGAGACCCATAGACTCACACAGAGACCCATAGACTCGCACAGCCACCCATAGACTGTCACAGAGACCCATAGACTCACACAGAGACCCATAGACTCGCACAGACACCCATAGACTGTCACAGAGACCCATAGACTCACGCAGAGACCCATAGACTCACACAGAGACCCACCCTGTCAGTCACACAGGGACCCATAGACTCACACAGAGACCCATAGACTCGCACAGAGACCCATAGACTCACACAGAGACCCATAGACTCGCACAGACACCCATTGACTGTTACAGAGACCCATAGACTCACACAGAGACCCATAGACTCGCACAGACACCCCTAGACTGTCACAGAGACCCATAGACTCACGCAGAGACCCATAGACTCACACAGAGACCCATAGACTCACACAGAGACCCATAGACTCGCACAGAGACCCATAGACTCACACAGAGACCCATAGACTCACATAGAGACCCATAGACACACATAGAGACCCATAGACTCACACAGAGACCCATAGACTCACACAGAGACCCATAGACTCACACAGAGACCCACCCTGTCAGTCACACATAGACCCATAGACTCACACATAGACCCATAGACTCACACAGAGACCCATAGACTCACACAGAGACCCATAGACTCGCACAGAGACCCACCCTGTCAGTCACACAGAGACCCATAGACTCACGCAGAGACCCATAGACTCACACAGAGACCCATACAATGTCACAGAGACCCATAGACTGTCACAGAGACCCATAGACTGTCACAGAGACCCATACTGTCACAGAGACCCATAGACTCACACAGAGACTCATAGATACACAAATAGACCCACAGATTCACAAATTGGAATCGGTTCCGCGCTACACGTTATTAATCGCTACAGGTTATTAATCGCTACAGGTTATTAATCGCTACAAGTTATTAATAGCTACAAGTTATTAATCGCTACAGGTTATTAATCGCTACAGGTTATTAATCGCTACAAGTTAGTAATCGCTATAGGCTATGAATCGCTACAAGTTATTAATCGCTACAAGTTATGAATCGCTACAGGCTATGAATCGCTACAAGTTATTAATCGCTACAAGTTATTAATCGCTACAGGTTATTAATCGCTACAGATTATTAATCGCTACAAGTTATTAATCGCTACAGGTTAAATTTAATCGTGCACCGCCTGTAATCGACGATTGCTAAAACTCCGATTACGCGCGCGCGGGTCCCGACCACGTGACCACACACTCCGCCCCCCCCCGCAAACTCACACACCCGGAAGTGAGCAGCTTCCCACCCCGCCCTTACCCAAGATGGCGGCGCCCAGCGACACGTGCGCCTTCATCTTGACCGTGGCCGGAATCACCCTTTTCAAATGCCTCCTCGTCCCCGCCTAGTGGGTCACGCTCGCAGCCGCCTCGTCGTTGTCGCAGGCTAAGCGCGAGGGGGAGCGGGCGGCGGGGGTAGCCTGGGAGCAGCGTGCTTGGATCTGTGTGGTCACAATCGTAGTAAACATTGCCACGTTGCACAGAGACCCATCGATCTGTACAGACTCGTACATACACCCATAGATTCATAGAGACCCATAGATTCATACAGATTCGCACAGACACGCATAGATTCATAGAGACCCATAGATTCATACAGACTCGCACAGACACCCATCGATTCGTACAGATTCGCAGACACCCATAGATTCATACAGAGAACCAAAGATGCATACAGATTCGTACCGAGACCCATAGATTCATACAGACTCGCACAGACACCCATAGATTCATACGGAGACCCATACATTCATACAGACTCGCACAGACCCATAGATTCATACAAACTCGCACAGAGACCCACAGATTCATACAGATGCCCATAGACTCACACGGAGATAATTTGTTTATACTTTCCTCTGTAACTTGTGCCACACGTGGGCAGGTGTCATAAGTTGCAAGGCTGCCTAGCAGTATAGTGGGCAGCAGAGGGCAGTGTAGCGCGGCCACATTCATTTGTAAATTAATGTAAATGTTGTGGCTTGTAAAATGTGGCTTGTCTCTCCAACACACCGGTGTGCTGTACTGGTGACGAATTGGCACGTTCTGTGGACATTCGTTTGTGTACTACTGTACAGTGTTGTATTGTACTTGTATGCTCCCACGCCTTCGCCAAACCGCGCCGAACAGAGTGGTGCGAAGTCGTTTGGGAGTCGCGCCGATCTCTACGTGATCCACCAACCGTCGCAGAAGTCACCGCACCCGGCAGGGATTGCGTCCCATCCAGCAGTGGATTGAACATGCTAGCGAAGCGTGTCTGGCCTGGTGGGGAGCGATAGTGTAGCGGTTAGCGCGCTGCGCTACGAACCCGGCGACCCGAGTTGGATTCCCGCTCACGGCCAACACCGGTGACGATTTATCTGAACCGATCCTGGGCCTCCCCTAGGTCGACTCAGCCTCAAACGAGTACCTGGTGCGATGTGTAAAACATCGCCACTGGGGAGACAAAGGCGGCCGGGCGTGGTGCTGGCCACCCACCCCCTCGTGTGCCGTTCCGGCCATCGTAGGTGCTGCTACTCGCAAACAGCACTTGCCCCAACAGCCTGTTAAGGCTACACGGGGGATTTTGTGTTGTGTGCTGTGTTGCCCGCGTGCGTTCTCTCTGTCTCTCGCGTGCGTGAAGTCGTTCCACGGATTTTGAGGTGCACCGCAATTGGCTGGCAATCACGCACAGTCTGCCCGTCTCACAATGGTACTACGAGGTGAGTCTGCCGCTTGCGTTGAACGCGTGCGGCGTTTCACTCACTCGCTCGCTCACCCACTTGGTGGGGATCGCTCACCTTCGCTCACTAAGTTTCCGATCCTCACTCACAACTCCCTTATTGGTACCCGTAGATCACCACACGACCCCCCATAATCTCCATCTCGTAACCACCACCACCGCCACCGTTCCTGTTCTCTCTTCATATTATCATTATATCACCCCGTGCATTCATTCCATTCAACATTTACTGTCAGATTCATAATTCTCATTAGACGGCTATCACTGATTCACCCCAATCATCATCATCTACTGTCAAAATAATAATTTTCATATGGCTATCACAGATTCACCCCAATCATTCAATCCATTCATAATATACTGTCAGAATAATAATTATTCTTATAATACGGCTATCAATCATTCACCCCAATCATCATCATCATGAACTGTCGTCAATTTCTCTTTCACCAAATTCACGCATCACAGATTCGCCCCCCATTGCTTCCCTCTCGTCCATTTCATTCACCGCATCTCCACCATTACATTCACACACGAGTTGTTGTTGTCGTTGTTGTATCGTTGTTAACTCTTGGTTAAGGCGCTGTGTAAATTACGTTAAGATAAGTGGCGACGCATTACTCAGCGACTCTTACACGCAACCATTTGGCTCGTTAAAGCACCGCCGATGTAAAATCATCGAAGTAGCTCTAACCCAGCGCGGCGTCACGAGTTGACGTTGTCGGAGTTACCGGACGACGCCCGGGGCGAGGTGTTTTGTCAGAGGCGACGAGGAGGCTTCGTCAGCGTTGTGGTTGGTACGGTGCCGAGGCCTGGACATTGCTTCCAACTGATGTGGACCGGCTTGCCAGTCCTTCCACGCGCGATGCCAACGACGGCCTATTTGTTGGCAACCCGATGGTTCCACTTCGCCAGGAACGTCACCGTTGGCGTTTGCGACCGGTCATCCCGGCGACCGAGAGCTTCTGTTCGAGGGGGACGGTCTGCGTCGCCCCCCCTTCCACCCCCTTCTCGACGCGCGAACTCCTGCAGCGACTTTGCGCACTTCGATTCGCGGCCGACGTTCGAAGCAACGACCCCCCCCATGATCCGTGGATCAAACGGATCACCCGAGACGCCGGTTCTACGGCGGCCCAGATCGGTTTGAGCGCGAACGCCGTCGCAAGGGGGCGCGCCGCGCCGTTGGAGCGACGGTCCCTCGCTGGACCGCTCGTGACGGACGGACGACGACGAGAAGGCGCTCGCGTCTCTTGACCCCGGGTGCGCCGCCGCTTCGCCGGCAGGACACGTCGGAGTGGACGCTGGACTACCCGCCGCTGTTCGCGTGGCTGGAGCTGGCGCTGTCGCACGCGGCCCGATGGTTCGACCCGGCCATGCTGGCGGTGGGCAACGTGGGCTACGCGAGCCCGGCCACCGTGCTCTTCCAGCGCCTCTCCGTCACGGCCACCGACGCGCTGTTCGTCTACGCCGCGTGGGAGTGAGTGGCGGCGTCACCCGCACACGTGCGGTGGAGAGAGAGCCTGGTGACTGGTGGGGTCTCTAGACACTGACTGGTGACTGGTGGGGTCTCCAGACACTGCCTGGTGACTGGTGGGGTCTCTAGACACTGACTCACTGACTGGTGGGGTCTCCAGACACTGCCTGGTGACTGGTGGGGTCTCTAGACACTGCCTGGTGACTGGTGGGGTCTCTAGACACTGCCTGGTGACTGGTGGGGTCTCTACACACTGCCTGGTGACTGGTGGGGTCTCTAGACACTGACTCACTGACTGGTGGGGTCTCTAGACACTGACTGACTGGTGACTGGTGGGGTCTCTAGACACTGACTGGTGACAGGTGGGGTCTCTAGACACTGACTGGTGACTGGTGGGGTCTCTAGACACTGACTCACTGACTGGTGGGGTCTCTAGACACTGACTGACTGGTGACTGGTGGGGTCTCTAGACACTGACTGGTGACTGGTGGGGTCTCTAGACACTGACTGACTGGTGGGGTCTCTAGACACTGACTGGTGACTGGTGGGGTCTCTAGACACTGCCTGGTGACTGGTGGGGTCTCTAGACACTGACTGACTGGTGGGGTCTCTAGACACTGACTGGTGACTGGTGGGGTCTCTGGACACTGACTGGTGACTGGTGGGGTCTCTAGACACTGCCTGGTGACTGGTGGGGTATCTAGACAACTCACTGACTGGTGGGGTCTCTAGACACTGCCTGGTGACTGGTGGGGTCTCTAGACAACTCACTGACTGGTGGGGTCTCTAGACACTGCCTGGTGACTGGTGGGGTCTCTAGACACTGACTGACTGGTGGGGTCTTTAGACACTGACTGGTGACTGGTGGGGTCTCTAGACACTGACTGGTGACTGGTGGGGTCTCTAGACACTGACTGACTGGTGACTGGTGGGGTCTCTAGACACTGACTGGTGACTGGTGACTGGTGGGGTCTCTAGACACTGACTGACTGGTGGGGTCTCTAGACAGTGACTGACTGACTGTTGGGGTCTCTACACGGTGACTGACTGACTGGTGGGGTCTCTACACGGTGACTGACTGACTGGTGGGGTCTCTAGACACTGACTGGTGACTGGTGGGGTCTCTAGACACTGACTGACTGGTGACTGGTGGGGTCTCTAGACACTGACTGGTGACTGGTGACTGGTGGGGTCTCTAGACACTGACTGACTGGTGGGGTCTCTAGACAGTGACTGACTGACTGTTGGGGTCTCTACACAGTGACTGACTGGTGGGGTCTCTAGACACTGCCTGGTGACTGGTGGGGTCTCTAGACACTGACTGGTGACTGTGGGGTCTCTAGACAGTGACTGACTGGTGGGGTCTCTACACAGTGACTGACTGACTGGTGGGGTCTCTAGACACTGACTGGTGACTGGTGATTGGTGGAGTCTCTAGACAGTGACTGACTGGTGGGGTCTCTTCACGGTGACTGACTGACTGGTGGGGTCTCTACACGGTGACTGACTGACTGGTGGGGTCTCTAGACACTGACTGACTGACCAGTCTCTGGTGGTGTCAATATGATCAGCACGGCTTTGTCTATCCTTTGTTTGGTCCCTTCATTAGAATGTGGCCTTCCCACCAAGACACCGTGACCCTAACTTGACTTCACTCAACGACTTCAATCAATTTGGCAGTGGACAATGGCATCGCTACCCCCCTCCCCCACTGCCTGAAATCCGTGCCGACCGTTGCCGCGTGCAGGTGCGGCCGGTGCGTGCGTGGCAAGGCCAAGGCCCGTCCGGGAGAGCTGACGCCTAGCCCCGGCCTGGGCCTCGCCGCTCTGCTCGTCACCAACGTCGGGCTCCTGCTCGTCGACCGTATCCCGGCCGTCGCCCGCCGGCGCCTTGAGGCGATTAGGAGAACAAAGTCGATTAATCGGCTAGAAAATGTAATATCGACTTCTTCTTGCGGATGATTACTTTAAAAAAAGGACAGCCGTCCTTCCCCCCCCACATCCTCCTGAATGTGGGAAACCCCCAACAAGCCACGCCCCTCTACGAGCCACGCCTCCCACGAGCCACGCCCCCTATTCGAGCCACGCCCCCCATACGAGCCACGCCCACTACGAGCCGACACTCCATCTCTGAGAAATAAAAATATGGGATTGGCCGTCGTGCAACGAGCACCCCTCTGGGTAGCGGAGCGGCGTGGGGAAGCGCTGCCCCTTACCACGTGGACCACGAGTCACTTGAAGGGATCACAGCAGTAGTCCGACAGCATGGGGTACAGCACTGTTTCTCACGAGAGTTCCTGATGGGATATTTTTGTTTTAACGGCATGACACCAATAGCACAATAGGATTGAAATTATGGATAATGAAAGTTATTGATAATCGTAAATAAAGAAAATTTACCGTGAAGAGGATGCCATGAAGCCAATTCCAAATCCATTTATGTTTATCTTCCTGTCTAAAGTCATTGTTTCTAAACCCCATCCTGCCAGATATCCATTTTCAATACAACGGTTTCCTCTCCGGACTGATGCTGTTGTCCATTGCCCGCCTGTACCAGGTGATGCCCGTAAGCGTGTTTGTGGTTCGTTGTTTTCTTGCACAGAAGCCAAATCGGCGTCACGGTTACGTCATGAACAACAGCGATTGTGTCGTTAACAATCGCTGCACAGGCTTTGGGAATGTGGCAGGGGGGCTGGCGGTGGAGTGGGCGTGTCTATGTAAAAGTGGGCGGGGCTCGCGGAGGGTGGGAGGGGCCGCCAGTGCACCGTGTGTCCCGGCTGAGCCTCCCAGACGCGTGGCAGCTGCTGTAAGTTATTTTGCGAGCTCTGCCAAGCCGATCAACCGGTTGGCGCTGGTGACGGATCTTTTTATATAATGGTAGTCATAATAATGTCAACAAATCGCACGAGCGTAGTGCCGCTCGACAAAGAACTGCGCTTCGAGGACCGTACCACAGCGGCCGGGTGGTCGGAAGGTCGCGAGTTTCAATCCCGCTTGGGGGGGTTTGACTCAGACCATCATCGTCAACCCTCCGGGGTAGATAAAACGAGCAACAATTTGCCAACAAGTCCACACGAACGGTTGCCCACATTCCTGCCATAGGAATGTGGAATTTCCCACCACTGGCTCTGCAGGGCTGTAAACAGGTGAGCCTCATTGCCTCGATGCTTGTTTGGGGCGCCACAGTGGTGAGATGTTGACTACCTCCTGGTATACAGGAGGTCGTGGGTTCAATCCCGACCCTGACGATGCCTGCTGCTGCTGCTGCTGTATATTTGGAGTTTGTGTCTCTCCGTGGTGAGATGTTGACTACCTCGCCAGGTCTACAGGAGGTCGTGGGTTCGATCCCGACCCTGACGATGCCTGCTGCTGCTGCTGTATATTTGGAGTTTGTGTCACTCTCTCCGTGGTGAGATGTTGACTACCTCTCCTGGTCTACAGGAGGTCGTGGATTCGATCCCGACCCTGACAATGCCTGCTGCTGCTGTATATTTGGAGTTTGTGTCTCTCTCTCCGTGGTCGCGTGGATTTTCTCCGGGTCCTCCGGTGTTTCCCCTCCACATTTAGAGGCAACAACGCTGCGAGTTACTTGGCCGCTGTAAATTCCCACGCGATGATGAGCCACTTGATCGAGCCATCACTCGTGACGGCCAGGTCGCTGCTGAAACGAGAGGCGTACAGCTCAGTGGGGCCTTAACTAAAGTAAAAAAATAAAAACAACTAGTTTGAGCAGCGGGAGGTCCTGTCGTGATCTCCTCCGAGTGGCTGGCGACGCGTCGCGTTTCCGCTCCTGCAGGGCAAGGTCTACACGGCTGCCTTCCTCTTCTCTCTGCTGCTCAACTTCAAGCACATCTACCTGTACCTGGCGCCGGCGTACGGCGTCCACATGCTACGCACGTTCTGCTTCATGCGCAGTCGCCCCGGTGAGGCCCCCGTGTGCGTGTCCATCTTCGGTGTGCGTGTCCATCTTCGGTGTGCGTGTTCACCATCTTCCATGTGCGTGTCCATCTCCCGTGTGCGTGTCCATCTTCCATGTGTGTCCATCTTCCATGTGTCGCCATCTCCCATGTGTGTCCATCTTCAATGTGTGTCAATCTTCAATGTGTGTCCATCTTCAATGTGTGCCAATCTTTAATGTGCGTCACGATCTCCCATGTGCGCGCGTGCGTCTAGACGGGAGTGTGCTCTGGAGAAGTCTGAGCGTGGCCCGTCTATCGGGGCTGGCCGCGATCGTCCTGTCCGTGTTCGCCTGCTCCTTCGGCCCGTTCATCGCCATGGTGAGCAGCCCCTGCCCGCGTCTCAAAGGCCCGAGTTCAATCCCCGCAACGGGCGTCTATAACGGGAGGGCTTACAACGAGACACCGAGTCGGTTAGCTCCGAAGCCCTGGGTTCACACCCTGGGACCGGCCGAGTCTTCTCCTGGCAGAGCCGGGCTACGGCTCCTCCTCGACGCCCACGGGAAGGGAGTTGCGCACACCATCTGCGTGTGATCCGCTAACCCTCTCCCGCGCAGTGCTGGGTCGCAGGCAGCCACGCGCATGGCCGCCGCGCCCCGGCTCTTTTTGATTGCGATTATGACGACGATGACGACTGCGGCGATACCGACTACGACGTCGATGAGACTCGCGATGCCAAATCTGAGCCGCCGTTATTATTGCTGACGGTTCGTTTTGAAGGCAGCTCGTCGTCGTCATCATCTGCGTGCGATCCACCAACCCTCCCTGCCGCCTCCACAGTGCTGGATCGCCTGGCTAAGCAGCTGCGGCCAGCTGCGGCGTGGCCACCGCGGCCCGGCCGCGAGGGGCTTGCGTGCGCGCTGAAACCGTGGCGCTCCCGCGCGTGCGAGCAGGGCCAGCTGCCGCAGGTGCTGTCACGCCTCTTCCCCTTCCGGCGGGGGCTCTGCCACGCCTACTGGGCGCCCAACGCGTGGGCGCTTTACAACGCCGCCGACAAGGCGCTCGCCATCGCCGGTGAGACGCTGCCGCCACGGCGCTAACCTCCGCTCGGTGACCCCCCCGACCGGTGAATTGTTTGTGTAGATTACACGGTGCCAGCGGTAGACTTGCACGGTGCCAGCGGTAGACTTGCATGGAGCCAGCGGTAGACTTGCGCGGTGCCAGCGGTAGACTTGCACGGTGCCAGCGGTAGACTTGCACGGAGCCAGCGGTAGACTTGCGCGGTGCCAGCGGTAGACTTGCGCGGTGCCAGCGGTAGACTTGCATGGAGCCAGCGGTAGACTTGCACGGTGGCAGCAGTGGAAATGGGGCCGGAACGACCCGGAACTCCGTGGTGGCGGTGGTGGGGAGCGGTAGTGTAGCGGTCAGCGCACTGCGCTACGAACCTGGCCACCCGAGTTCGATTCCCGCTCGCGGCCAACCCCAACGACAATTATCTGAACCGGTCCTGGACCTCCCCTAGGTCGACTCGGCCTCAGATTAGTACTTGGTGCGGCGTGGTGCTGGCCACCCACCCCCTCGTGTGCAGTACCGGCCTTCACAGGTGCTGCTCGCTCACAGCACTCGCAGACAGCTGCACACGACAGCAGACGGCCGCTCACGCAGCGGAGAGAGAGCAGCAGCCCCCCACCCCCCCCCCCCCTCCCGCACCGTCTCCTCTGCGCCGCTGCAGGCGTCCGTGCGGGGCTCTGGAACGGAAGCTCCCTGGCCACGGCGGCCATGACAGGAGGGCTGGTGGGCGAGGCCGAGCACGCCGTGCTGCCCTCCGTGCCGCCCGGCGCCACCGTCGCCTGCACGCTGCTCGCCATGCTGGTGAGACGGACCAGCCGCACCCACCACTCGGCTCCTACCCACTCGCCTACCACCCCTCGCCTACCACCCCTCGCCTAACCCTGCCCTGCACCCACCACGCCTCTCCCAACATCCTCTCGCCTACCCCCCACTCGCCTACTGCCCATGAAGATGGCTGCGAGCTCAGGCTAGCAGTGGATTGGCCATGGCCGACGACAATGACGACGATTGCTTTGCACGTTGGTTTCCTCCGAGCCTTTGGGTAGTTGATGCCCCCCCCTCCTCCTCCCCCCTCAACCCCTCCCCCCCCTCTCTCTCCCTCCCACGGGTGACGCGCGAGGGCCGATGCAGCCGGCGCTGTGGGCCCTGTGGTCGCGGCCGTGCGGCCCGCGCCACTTTGTGCGCTGCGCTACGCTCTGCGCCCTGGCGTCGTTCCTCTTCGGGTGGCACGTCCACGAGAAGGCCATCCTCATCGCCATCCTCCCACTCACGTACGTGCCGCGTCATCGCCACCGGCGCCGAACGTGCATGCCGCCGCTCAGTGTTGGAAGCCGTGCTCGGGCGCCGCTCGTTCGTTTCTCTCTGGACGTCTGTGAAAAAAGAGCTTTATAGCTCATCGGGTTCCTCCAGTGTAGATGAATATTCTGATTCTCGAATATCCTCCCGGCTTCGGTCGATTGCTGTTGAACGTCACTTTCTGCTCTCGTCTATTCATCGAGGGCCTTCACTCCTTCCCCCCCGCGCCTACGATTGCCACGGCTGGCTACGTACGGTGCGAAAGAAGTTTACCGTGCACACACACACACACGTACAAGGCGCTTGACACAGCTCACAAAGCGACGACGGAATGGAGTGATGCAGCTGGCAGGGGAGTACTTCAATGGATGACGATCACGACGATGACGACGATGACGACGACGACGATGACGACGACGATGACGACAATGATGCGTCATCACGTCTCCGGTGCCTCGGAACAAAACGAGCATCGAACGGCGCTCCGACTCCCGCGCAAGTGCCGGAAGTTCCACGTTCCCGTGACGGCAAACGACCCAGCTCGGCAGGTGGGGCGCAGGCCGTGCCCCGTGACCTCTGACCGGCGACCTCTGACCGGCGACCTCTGACCGGCGACCTCTGACCGGCGACCTCTGACCGGCGCCCTCTGACCGGCGCCGCTAACGACGCCGCTTCCTCGCAGACTCCTGGCGGTGGAGAGCCGAGAGGACGCTGAGACGTTCCTGATCTTGGCCACGACCGGCCATCTATCGCTGTTCCCGCTCATCTTCACCCTGCCTGGTGAGCGGCGGCCGAGACACCTTCAGCCCCCACGCACCAAGACAAAGGCCCCCCCTCCGTATAGCCTGGACAGACTGTCGGGCAAGTGCTGTTCGCGAGGCGACCCGGGGGAGGCCCGGACCTGGTTCAGATCTTGGTCACCGGTTGTCGGTCGCTGTGAGCGGGAATCGAACTGTGCCCGACGGGTTCGTAGCGCAGCGCGTTAACCGCTGCTCCACCGCTCCCAAAAGACAAAGATCCCCCGTAGAGCCTCGGCAGACCGTTGGGGCAAGTGCTGTTAGTGACGAGCACCTATGAAGGCCGGCACGGCGCATTTGTCTCCCCGATGCTGATGTTTACACACCGCGTCAGATATTCATTTAAGGCTGAGCACACGAAGCTACATGGCTCTCTTTCAGAAGCGACCAGGCCACATGATAGCTCAACGAAGTTGCTGTATCATCGTGTGGAAATCTATCGCAGCCAAACACTCCAAACGCGTGACGTTGATTCTAAATGTGGAGGGAAAAACCGGAGGACCCGGAGAAAAATCCACAAGACCACGGGGAGAGAGAGAGAGACAGGCAAACCCCAAATATGCAGCAGGCATCGTCAGGGTCGGGATCGAACCCCACGACCTCCTGTATACCAGGCGAGGTAGTTAACATCTGCTAGCCCTCCATGGGATTCCCATGGTGGCGAGGAAATGAAGCGTTTCATGATCCACGCGTTTTGCACGATTTCACTTTTGACCTCCGATCTCTGTCCACAGAGTTGCCCATCAAGATCGGCCTGATGCTGATGTACACCATCTTTAGCTTCTCCACCCTCGGGTCGCTCGTGTGGTGAGTCCCGATGTCTCTCGAATGTCCGTACGTATGTGTGCTGGGTCATGTAGCCCGCATGCCCAGCCACCGCATGCCCCCAAGCAGCTTCTGTTTGGCCGCATAGAGGGGGGTAAACGGGCACGGCGCGGGCAGGAGAAGAGATGGAGCTGATTTGGTACGGGAGGACGTGGAGCTGAGTGGACTTGCCGATGACTGGTACCAGCGGTGTCAAGATCGCCCTCTGTGGAGGAGGCTCGTGAAGGACGCTGCTACTGGGCAGTTGGAGGCAGTCGCCCTCCAGCAACAACAGAGGGTAGAGGACTGACGCTCACAAGAAGGGGCGGAGCGCCGGGCGGCTAATATGCAGCAAGTAGGTACAGTAGGGGGCACAGATCTACCAGTCATATCAGTTAGACCTCCAGTCAGCGAGCCTTCGACAATTCACGTGGCCTCAAAGTGCACCTGGCCTGGCACAGAGGCGCCGCGGTGACGTCACCGTCACTTCGTGGCGGATGGGCGGGTATTGGTATTGGTGGTGGTGGGGAGCGGTAGCGTCGTGGTTAGCGCGCTGCGCTACGAACCCCGGGCGACCCGTGTTCGATACCCGCTCGCGCCCAACACCAGTGATGCCACGGTGGCTAGGAGACGTTGACCACCTCCAAAAGTCTGGCGAATGGCGGGCATCGGTACGTCGAACTTCTTCCGCAACCGTGCGTCGCCAGCCGTGCGAGCGAAACGCAACGCGTTCCGTGTTCCATTGGGAGGTGGCAGCGCGCTCCGGAAAGCCGGTTCCGTCAGCGACGGTCGGCGCTCATGTGTACTCGGGGCCGACCTTTCGCGACCGATGTCAGGGTTCGTCGTTAACTTTCCTTCGGGTCTCATCGTCGTGCGTGTGTAATGGCCAGTTGTTTTTGTTTTAGCAATATCCCTCCACCACCCGACGACGGAGCCAGTCAAATAGAGTTGTCACGTTCCATTTTGTTTATCAACAAACTGGAGGAGGAAGGGGGGGGGAACGAGGGTTGAAAACCCCAAGCAAACCTTTTGACAATTTTTATGCGAACAACGTTTCGCTGTACCTACGGGACCTTTTTTGCCGGTATCATAATTATGAAAAAATCTGAATAGGCGTTACCTTCCTCGTCAGCGAGACAGGAGGTGTTACGACGTCCAAACACCAAATATAGACACCTATTGGTGTCGGCGTTTAGCGTTTGAACGATCGTGGTGCGAGGGTATCGATAGGGGGGTTTCATTCATTTTATCTGCGTGTCACGAGGGGGCCGAACATAGCGGGGAACCCAGGGGAAACGGCCGGCCGGCCGGCCGGCCGGCCGGGGTGAGAACACAAACTCCAGACAGAGAGGCGCCCGAGTCGGGAACCGAATCCAGCGGCCGCTAGGCGCGTGCATCGCCGCAAACGCGCGTCGAGTCTCACTGACGGCGCCGCCGCCGGTGTCTCCCCCGCCCCGCCCCTTGCCCAGCGGCGCCAGGGAGCGCCTGCTGGGCCCGTGCGCCGCGGGCTACCTGGCCGGCCTGGCCGCGCTGGCGCTGCTCGTGGAGCTCGCCTTCCCGCTGTCGCCGTGGCGAAGCTCGATGCCCTTCCTGCCGCTGCTCGCCACTTCCTGCTACGGCGCCGTGGGCGTCGCCATCGCCTGGTTCCGCCTCCTGCGCTCGCTGGGCTCCGCCCACCGCCCCCGCGGCCGAGACGACGACCGGCGGAAGGCGCAGTGACGGCCGGCGGCGGTCGCGGTCGTTCAGAAATCTTTATAGACGACCACGAGAGGAGGAGGAATTTGCGTTTTACGGACCTCGACCGTTTCCGGTTCCATCCCCGCGATCTTGCCCCTAGGGAAGCGCCCCCCCCCCCCCTCCACCAGCGGCAGCCGCCCCCGTGCGGTGCAAGGCGTACGCAGCACCGGCCTGCAAGTGGGGCTTGGACTGCCAGCAGTGCTAATGTACGAGCAGTTTTACAAACTTGGGCCGTGAAGCCTACTCCGTTCTGAACAAGGCCATTGGGGATCTCGCACCCACACGCGGTATTACTGGTAGGAAACCAAGTGGACTGAAAGCCCAACCGGGATTAATTCACAGGAGGCAGGGGATTAATTGTGGATGTCTGTCCACGTGGGAAGGGGTGGGGCTGGGTGGAGAGGGGAGGGTAGGGGGAGGGGCTGGGTGGGGAGGGGAGGGTGGGGCTGGGTGGGGAGGGGCTGGTCACCCCGTGGTGCCCTTATAAAACTCAACGTTTAACCTACTCACGCCGGCTTGTGCCCGCCCTCACAGTCGGGAATATTTACTGAATACACCACGTGGTGCCGCCGTTGACCCTGGCCATTGACCGAGCAACCCAACGTTCCTACCAGCTCCTTCCGCAGGAGAATGTGTTAAACCAGGCTGGCCGCCACGAGCGGGGGGGGGGGGGGGGGGGGGGGGGGGGGGGGCGGGGGGGGGGGCAGAAGGGCCACGTCCAGGCGTGTCCGGGATCATTTCGGCGGATTCAGAGGAGCCGCCCTCCCGTGCCCTCGCCCACAATCATTTGCAAAAAGAAAATCACGGTTTCGTCCCGAGCTTAAGATTCTCTGGCCCCATAACTGAATTTGCGGCAATAGCGGTGGAGGGCGGGGCTAGCTGTGTCCCGGCTGAACCTCCCAGTTATTTTGCGAGCTCTGCCAAGCCGATTCGTCTGGTGACGAATCTTTTAATATAACGGTAGTCGTAATAATAAATCGCACGAGCGTAGTGCCGCTCGTCAAAGAACCGCGCTTCGAGGACCGTGCCCCAGCGGCGGGGTGGCCCCAGGGGCAGAGCGAGCGCCTCGCGGTCTGAAGGTCACGAGTTCAAATCCCGCTCGGGGGGGGTGGGGGTGGAGGAGTGAACTCGCGAGTTGATTGTCAAAATAAAAAATAAGCATCGCTTTTGTGCGGAAATCAACGGTAGTTGTCCAATAGGCGGATCCAGCCCCCCCCCCCCGCCATATGAACGTGGAATTTCCATCGCTGGCCGTGCAGCGTGGCTGTAAACGGTAGAGGAGCGCCGATGCCTCGACCCTCATCTGAGCGAGGGGAGATCCGCTCTGACCTGCAGACGCGTTCGTACGTGTCGTGAAACTCGGAACTCCACCGTTCACCTCTCCGGCTCTTCTCGTTAGCCTTGCAGGCCCGCTGCGTTGGGCCGACTGGCTTCTTTTACATGTTCTTATTTCAGCTTTGTAGGCCTACTGTTGGACGTGCCGGAGTGATGCTCTGAAGCAAGGCGCATTGCAAATGCAATTGATTATGCTTTGTTTTAAATTGACTCTAAAACTTGCGTTTGAAGTGTTGGTGCTGTTGTTGGTACAAGAGTTTGCGTCTTTAAACGTTTACCACGACAGCACGGAACGGGGGGGGGGGGGGGCGACCCAAAGTTTGAACTCGGTGCTCTGTAGGGTTTTTTATATTTTATAGTCTGGTTTTGTTTCACTTGATGGAGTTGTGTGACGTACGTATGTTAAACTTCTTTCGCACCGTATACGTAGCCAACCGTGCTAATCCTAGGTGCGGGGGAAAGACGACAAACTAAACACCACAAAGAGCAGAGGTAAAGACATTTGTTATCAATCATTGATTATGTAAAAGTGCATCACAGCTCCCAGTGGCTTCCTGATATGGGCAGGAAGAGCGTTCCAGACGACCACAGAAGAGCATCTGAGAGCGCCGCGCGATGATGCGGTGAAAGCGCCGCCTTTGTTCGATGGCCGAGCCAAAAGTTTGCGTGACGATGGTTTAAAATGAAGTAATCATCGTCGCCATCGTCCGCAGCGATCATTGCACGCGAGCATGTGATGCAAGGGTTGGTGGGTCACGGAGAGATCTGTGAAAGACCAAAAAGCCGCTGAGCTGCGCAATTCCAGGAGGTGGCAGTACGGCAAGTGGGTTCGTAAATTAAACCTGACTGTGAGCCTCCACTGTGAGTGTGTGCGTCATTTGCTCCTACTGGTACGCTGCTTTCTTCCCACGTTCGAATGGAGTTGGTTAAACGTCTCGAAATGTGTCTCGAGACTCAGTGCGGATTTCCGGGATAAATAAAGAGAACCACAATGATGGGGCTACCGATCTTCATCGCCACAATCATCACAACAACCGCTATCTTCGCCACAATCATTACACCGTGAACGACTCAACTGGGGTCACCGTACACACGCAGCGGCAATCGTCCCCTGCTGGCCGCAAACTCATGCCCAGGGACAGCTGTCACTGGGGGTTCCCCTAGGACTTGACACATGAAGCTATGGCCGCCTCCTAGCAGCAGACCGATGCCCAGAGACAGTTGCCACTGGGGGTGCCCCTAGGCTCGACCAAAGCAGAAGCTATGGCCCATACTGGCAGCAGACTCGCACCTAGAGACAGCTGCCACTGGGGGTGCCGCTAGGCTTGACCACAGCAGAAGCTATGGCCCATACTGGCAGCAGACTCACCCACGGACAGCTGCCACTGGGGGTACCCCTAGGCTTGACCACAGCAGAAGCTATGGCCCTACTGGCAAAAGATTCACACCTAGAGACAGCTGCCACTGGGGGTGCCCCTAGGCTTGACCACAGCAGAAGCTATGGCCCATACTGGCAGCAGACACCTAGAGACAGCTGCCACTGGGGGTGCCGCTAGGCTTGACCACACAGCAGACTGACAGGTCGGATCACTCTTGTGGATTAGACTCCCATCCCCTGGTCTCTGAGTTGTCAGCTCTTCAGTGCAATTTGCTTGAACACGATTTTTTCGTTAAATCATTAAAATTGTTTTATAATTGGCCAAACATCCCAATGTAGCAAAACCTCCTGCAAAGCGTCTTTTGACTCGATGGGTGTTCCTGGGTAAAATATCCTGAGTGGCAAATAAACTTCCCCACCTGAGTGGGACGACATTACAGAAATTAAATACATGGAATAATCTTGACAAATGTAAGGTCGTATAATCAAGGCTCCCGATCACACATTGTGAGTTTAACTGATTGCATCTGCGCGTACACTTTAAATAAATAAAAATGTTTTTGTTTGAACTGTTCAAATTTTTACGTTAGAATAACTAAACTTGTTGGACGTATCTGTCACATCAGTGGCATCGGTTGCAAACGTGCGGTGTGAAAGAAGTTCAACGTGCAGGCGGATTGGGGAGGGCCTTAATCCAGCAGCCGATTGGACCCTGGCGAGGTATTTTTTTGTTCCGCCCCTTGGGTCTCACCGATTGTCTCCGTCTGCGCCCGATTCACTTGAACCCTTCCGGTTCAATCGGCGACACCCAAGGTGGCGGAACAAAAAAAATTCTCGAACTCCCGCGAGGGCGCGGAGTTGGAAGTTTCCGCCCGGAACCTCGAGAGCGGTGGCGCCCCATTAGCAACGCGACTCCCGTCAGTTTCTCCGTGCGCGTTCCACGTTGCCGAGTTGACCATCGCAACTCGGCAACTCGTCGCTCTCCACGAGCTCCCTCGCCCTGCCCGCCGTCGCAATGGCCACCCTGGTACGTGGTTCCAAGTCTCGGCGATGCGTAGCGCCGTCGTTTTGTCTGTTTCACCAACCCCGGTTGCGTCATTGAGAGTTGCGGCCTACACCATCGCCAGACCTGCGCTGTGGTCTCGAGGCTTCGCTACTTTGTCGCGAATTAAACCCGGGATTGAGTGGTGGTGGTGGTGACGACGTGATTGTGTGGTGGTGGTGACGGTGACTTCGTCGTTCTGCAGGACTTTAAGATGGTTGTCGACCAGGCGTGCCGCGCTGCCGAGGAGTTTGTGTGCATCTACTACGAGACGATCGACAAGCGGAGACACGTGCGTTCACACCGCACCACCCAGCACCTCACACAGCACCCAGCACCACCCCGAACCCCACCCCGCACCACCCACCACCCAGCACCACCCACCATCCAGCACCACCCACCATCTCACACAGCACCCCGCACCACCCACCACCACCCACCACCTCACACAGCACCCCGCACCACTCCGCACCCAGCACCCCGCACCACCCACCACCACCACCCAGCACCACCACCCACCACCTCACACACCACCCAGCACCCCACCCAGCCCCACCCCGCACCTCCCCCCACCACCCAGCGCCTCGCACAGCACCACAGTCAGAACGTCGTCAGTTCAAATCCCGGTCAGGTTTCAACCCAGATCACCATCACTATCCCGCCATAATTAGTAACATCATTATTAGCTTATTGTCATCAACAGCCAGTAGCAGATCTCGTAACTTAAACAACTTTATTTTTTACTTTTCCAGGCAAGGTAGGCCCACCGAGCTGTATAGCTCTCTATCGGAAGCGACCTGGCCACAAATGATAGCTCAACGAACTTGGCTTATTACGTCAAAGACTTGAGTTATTTCTTCGAAGACGCACGATCGGACGCTGCCGTTTGTTGATGCCGCAGGTGCTCACGAAGCTCTACCTGGAGACCGCCACCCTCGTCTGGAACGGCACGGCCGTCACGGGGCTGGAGGGGCTCGCAAAGTTCTTTGAGCAGCTGCCCTCCAGCGAGCACCAGCCGACCATGCTCGACTGCCAGCCAGTTCCCGGTGAGCTCACACAGCAGCAGCAGCACGCCGTGCCGCACTGAATTTGAGACGTCGCACCTGGATGGGTGGTTGGTGGTTGGGTGGTTGGTTAGGTGGGTGGTTGGTTGGTTGGGTGGTTGGGCGAGCCGGTGGGTAGTGGGGCGAATTGCGTGAATGGTTGGTGGAGTTAACGGAGTTCCCTGACTTGATAATATCAAGGATGGTGGGAGGGAGGATTCCACGCCCTGCACGTCGACATTTAACAACTGCTAAGTGGACTAAATGTTTCACAGATTTAATTGACCAGACTTTAGAGAATGACCGCATGAAATATACAGACTTAAGACACAACTCAAACTCCACTGCGTGTCGTCAAATGGACTAAGACCGACACTTGCATGAAAATCGCCGACGACGTTAATCTAAAACTAAACTTTTAAACTCTTTTTATTTTACCAGGTAAGCATTAGCGCTCTTTTCCAGGAGCGACCTGGCTATCACAAATGATAGCTCAGCGAAGTGGCTTATCGCGTGGAAATTTATAGCAGAAGCCAAATACTCCCAACGCGTGACTTCGATTCTAAATGTGGAGGGGGAAAACCGGAGGGACCCCGAGAAAAATCCACGCCACCACGGGGAGAGACACGCAAACTCCAAATTCACAGCAGGTGTCAGGGGTCGAAATCGAACCCGCGACCCCCTGCGTACGCTAACGCTGCTCTGGGTTGTCACTCTCTCGCGCGATCGTTTCACAGAGGCCGCGTCGCAGGGCCGCACCACGGTGCTGGTGGTGACGAGCGGCACGGTGAAATTCGACGGCAACCGGCAGCGCTACTTCAGCCAGAACTTCCTGCTCACGGCGCAAGGGACCGGCGCCGGAACCGTGTGGAAGGTGGCGAGCGACTGTTTCCGCTTCCAAGACTGAACGCCGCGTCCCGCCCCCCCCCCCCGTGACTTTGGACCGAGTTTGAGATTGGGCAGCAGGAACAGCAGAAGAGGCAGCAACAGCAGTAGAAGCAACAAGAACGGCAGAAGCAGCAGCAACAACAACAGTAGTTCACCGATTGGCGGAGCTGCACTGCTGCCGTTTTCTGTATTGCGTGCTGGTGTAACCTGCTTGACCCCCTGCCCCGACTGGACATCATCTGTGAAAGAGAGCTTCATGGCTCATCGGAGTCCTTCAGGATAAATTAAATATTCTGATTCTAACATTGGAGGTGAAATATATTGCGCGATCCGAGCAGAAACATTTTAGCATTGAGCGGAGTCAAATGTTAACGCATTCTAAAACAATGGTATCATTATCATCACAGCAAGTCTTAGCATCATCTGTGGTAGTGGGAGTGGCAAGATGCAGTCGCAACAACGATAACAGCAACAGCTGCAGCTGATGTTCCTGTATCTTACATATTTTAAGGCGTTGTATTTGTTTAAATTTCAGTGGTTCTTTGCCGACAATGGTTTTTGTGTTTATCGCTTTAAAGCCACCGCAAGTATTTATTTTTGCCTCCAAATGCTAATTGTGTACAAGCGTTTAACGTTTTATCTTCGAACACTGCCATTGCCGTGGTTGTAGAGGCGGATTTTTTTTATTTTGTAATACCTTGAAATGAAAATAAACCGAGGTTTTCCCGAACGAGTGGTAAGAATAATAGTTCTTACAGTAGAATGCATAGCGGGGCGCTGCTACAATGGGATGTTTGGACAACGCCACGTTGATGACCAATTGGGCTTTGTGTGGGTGGAAGCTGGAAGAAACTGGAGAAGCCGGAGAAAACCGGAAGAAACTGGAGAAAACCGGAAGAAACTGGTGAAAACCGGAGGAAACCGGAAAAAACTGGTGAAAACCGGAAGAAACTGGAGAAGCCGGAGAAAACCCACCCCGCATACGAGGGGGACAACACTCGCACCTCCTCAAAGATTGGCTCGGGAAGCCACTTGCCCTCTCCTGGCCACCTCGCAGCCCAAGTAGGTTCGTGGGTCCTACAGATTTGCACGGACCAGCAATGAACATCATGGTCAATCCACTGCTGGATGAACTCCTACGATGCAACGGTCAGCGCGCACGCAACCCCACTTCAACGCTCCGTATTCGCGGCCGACATCCTCCTCGGGCGTTGTTCCCTCCTCCGTCCGCCACTGTCGTTAGTCTTGATCCCCCCCCCCACCACCCCGATCCCTTCCAGCGACGATGCGTTGCCAAAGCCGTCCAGCGTCCCAGTCGCAGTTCTAAAAAAAAAAAAATCTTACCAAAACCAGAATGTTGTCTCCGGCCTTACCTGGTCCGCCCGATCCACAAACACGAAGGAGGCGTTGCGGCGATACTCTCCGCTAACTCCTCACGCGGCGGTCCGGGCTTGGCCACCCGAATGTGAGGTTTTAAGTCGTTGCTCTGCACCCACAGTAACGTCGGCAGCCGCACGCCTCCGTGTAATCCCAGCGGGCTCCTCTCCACCGCGCTCCTCTGTCCCGCGTCATTTGCCCGCGTTTGTGACGGACGCGGGCGCCGCCGGAAGCTCGCCGGCACGCTGCCGCTGCTGTGCTCGCGCGGTGGCGGAGGGGGGCGACTCGGAGTTTTTTAAAATCAAACTTTTAATCGACGAACACCAGCAGCAGGCGCTACCACGCGTACGGACAATCAAAACGCGGTGTGCGGCGAGCGACTGTTCGCGCGTCTCTCGCCCAGTCGCGACGAAACCAAAAGCGGATCTTCCATCTCGACGTGGGGGGGGGGGGGGGGGGGGGTAATGGTTCAAGTGGCGTATTGCACGTGGAATTACGTTGGTCGGCAATCTCCTGGCGGAATGTGTCGTCTGGTTCTGGCAAAACGGGCGAATTTGCGTGGTGCCGCGTGGCTGTTGGTGGGGGTTGCGTAGCCCGTGGACTTTGCCGTATTGTGAGCCCGCTCCCTCCGTGTTGGGGGGGGGGGGGTTCCTGCTCCAATACTGCCATGTGGGCTGCCAGTTCGACATTTGAGCGATCGTCCTGGGAACATTTTGACGGCCCACATCATCACGATGAGGCGGCGGTCAAGTGTAAAAATGTCCGATAAAAAACAAAATGTCTACGTATAATACTTTTTTTTGGACCGTTCACGCAATTTATTTCACGTGGCTCCCGTGCTGTCGAAAGTGACGTCACCCCCTGGGCACGCGGCGACGCCATCTTGGTGTGGGGGGGGAGGAGTGTCGACGTGACGTCCAAGTGACGTGACGAGCACGCGAAACCGTTACCTGGGTCGGCATTTGCATTGCCTGCGACACCGTCGGTGCCCTTCGTGTTTGGCGCGAATTTCAGAGGCTCGCGGAGCCCAGACTAAGGCACCGTTCGGATCGCTGGAGTTCAGTGCGTGGCGTCTGCTCCGTCCTTCGTCTGCGCACACTCGCACCAGCTCGGCTAGCGGTTTTTTTTTTTTTACCGACAAACGATGGGAGATCGAAGCAGCGTACGGCGACACTTTTATACTTCGTCATCCCCCCCCCCGCACCTCCGATTAGCACGGTCGGCTCACGTGCGGTGCGAAAGAAGTTCAACGTACATACATAAACTCGGCCGACGTTATTGTACTCTACAGGCGTTCAGCCGTGCGATCGGACACCGGTTTGAGCCAGGATTTCCAGGTGAGCTGGAAGGCAGAAATAAATACAACAAAACGAAAACAATTTTAAATTACCACAACTACCCCGCCACACTGCTCTGCATGCGCGGAGTTATCACAGCGCACACGCGATTGAAAATATTTTTCTATTTTTTATGATTTTCAGGAAGCTGGGTAGCCCGGTCTCCGAGAGGTTCACTTCACGATTGGCAGCGTAGCACGGTACCAGGCATTGTGCACTTCCAACTCCGGAGACCACGGCGGTGCAACCCATCTCATCGCTCCTGCGTTAAAACGAACATGACCGCACGGCAAAATCAACGTCTCCTCGTGGTCCACCTCGCACCGTCTCAACACGATCTCTGCACGGCAAAATGATTCATTAGCTGTGTAAACAAGTGATTGTTTTTTTTTTCTATGTGCTTATTCGCTTAGTAAATCCTTACAGGGTGGCAAAAACTGACAGGTTAAAACGTGAATTGTATGATTTTGTGTGTGCGCGCGTGCTGGTCTTCATGTATGCTCATGTGTGTGTGTTGTTGGGAGTGGTGGCGCAGTGGTTAGCGTGCTGCGCTGAGAACCCGCCGACCCCAAGTTCGATTTCCGCTCAAGGCCAACTCCAGTGACGATTATCTAAACCGATCCTGGGCCTCCCCAAGGTCGAGTCAGCCTCAAATGAGTACCTGGCGTGGGGTGTAAACATCTCCTCTGGAAAGACAAATGTGGTCGGGCGTGGTGTTGGGCACCCACCCCAACAGTCTGAGGCTACACGGGGGATCTTTGTGTTTCCTATCCTCTAATCTCAGTGACCTAGGTTCAGTTCCCGGCCATGAATAACATTTCCTTATGTGGTCCGTCAGGTTTCTGGTCCCACTGTGCCAGCCTCGCTCGGTGCTCGCTAAGAGCACTTTCCCTCAGAAGTCTACAACGCTTACGTAGGGGACCTTTGTGTGTGGTGTGTTACGTGTTTATATTTGCGTGTTTATGTTTAAGCGTGTGCGTTCGTACAGTCATTGGTGACTGGGCTGAGACCCGGTTTAATCACAACCCAGTGAATGTGTCTCTATGCGAGTCTGTGGGTCGATGTGCGAGTCTATGGGTCTCTATGCAAGTCATTGGTGACCAGGCTGAGACCATCGACTCGCCCAACTTGAGAACCCAGTTTCATCACGGGCGACCAGCTACTTCGTGCTAAGTGCAATTTCTTAAACCGATTTTCAAACGGCAAGTTTCTGGCTTTTGAAACAAAAGCAATACTACCCCATCAAGAATAACAACAACAACAACACAAGGATAATGATACGAATGAAAGTCGCAGCTCTCTCTCTCTAGCGCTGTGTAAACTTAGCGGTGGCGACGCATTGACAGGGGGGCGCGACGCCAAAACGCCGTGCCCCATCGCGCGCTCGGGATGCCCGGCGCGACCGCAAAACTTCGGCGGCAAAGCGGTCGAACGTGGTGACCGCTTCGCCGCCCGACCGCTTCGCCGCCCGCCGGCGCGGTATTCGTGCACGCGCTCCGTAATAAAATCATTCGGGGCCATCGAGAGGCGTCGCAAAGCCGACCCTCGTCACAGTAAAAGTCGCGCGCTCTCAATCCCCGCCCGTTGTAAACGCGCCGCGCCTCGGCGAGGCGTTTCCCTCGGTGCCGCGCCCGTCATTCTTTTTCCTTCCCCCGTAGGCGTTGGCTCGCCGGGACCCGTTCGCGTATCCGACCGACCGACCGACCGACGCGTGCCGGTCGCCGGCTTCGGGCACGACGCGCCGACGTCGTTCGGAAACGCGCGGTGGCCACAATTCGAGATTTGGGATCGGAAGTCCAGGCCGCGACGCGTCTCGGACCGCGGGGGGGGGGGCGAACGTTCAAACGGTGCGACGACGTGCACGGCCGCGCGATGGCGAGCGGGCGTCCGTCGCTTCTCCGCAGGGGCCGTTTTGGTCGTCGGTACGGGGAGGCTCACGAGGGTTGAGCTATCGGCGAGCGCCGGGTCGGCTCGCGAGAGCCGGGGCTGAAGGGGCCCGACGCGAGGGGCGGCGTAGGACCCTCCACAAGGACTCGCGCGCCTTCCTTAATTATTGCGATTAAAAGTTTACAAGTTCCATGTCGATGAGAGCGACCGTGAACTTTTCGCCACGGGTGTTTTCAAATCGTCACTCGACCAGAGGGAAAAATGAGATCCAGAAACGCCTGGAGAGGGGAGGAGGGGGGGGCGGGGAAATAAATAAAAACATAAATCTGGAGGGCGATTGGGAGATAATCCAAGGAGGAATGTGAAGAAAGCAGTTGGTGTAAATCCGCAGAAAATGCCACGGGAAAGCTGAGAAAGAACGTTGAGAGAAATGGGGCGAATCGGGGTCTGGGGAAATCGGGTGGACGAAGACAAACTTGGTCCACGGAGTGCGGGGGGAACCTCTGGGCGAGCTCGACTCTTCCTCACAGGGCGAGTCGGTCGGTCCGAGGCCTTGGCAAGAGGGCACCTGCCCTTCAAAACTATTCAACTGTTTAGACTAAAGTTTTTATTTTATAACAGGTAAGGCCCCACTGAGCTACGTAGCTCTTTCTCAGAAACGGCCTGGCCACCGCGAATGACTGATCGACGAATTAGCTTGTGTGGAAATTGAGTGCGGGCAAATACTCTAAACGCAAGACGGTTCGAAATGTGGAGGGAAAAACAGGAGGATCCGGAGAAAAATCCACGCGACCACGGGGAGTGAGAGAGAGAGACGCGCAAACTCCAAACATACAACAGGCATCAGAGTCAGGATCGCACCCACGACCTCCTGCATACCAGGCGAGGTAGTTAACATCTCCTGGCCACCGCAGCAACCCCAAGTGCCCACCTCCTTCACCCACTCCCCTTCAACCGCGCTATATTTACTAACGACGTGTAAACAGCTCTCGTCTCAAGTCGACCAATCGACGTAAACGTCAGCACGACCGCTGTCTCTTGCGGTCAACCGCTCCGACCTCCCGGCGGCTCTCCCCCGCGTTGCCGTCGGCTACCCCCCGGGGCACCGCCACCGTCTGACGTTCCTCACTCTAGACGCCGTGCTACATGTCGGCGCGAGAGTGATCTCTATCTCGACGCGTTCCCACGGGGTGCAGGGGGTGCGTGCGAACGTGTAAACCATAGCCGCTCACAGCCAAGTGGGTAGACCCTGTAAGAACTTAAGGGGGTGACGATGACGACGATGATGATGATGACGACGATGACGACAATCGGTGAAGGGAACCGAGCAAAAAGCTCAGGGACCCAAGCAGCTCAAGCAGGGGGTGCCACCCAGATTCATGAAACAAATTGGGGTGAGCAGAACATCAGCTCGAGCTCAAGTCGACATCGCTCTCACATCACTCCGTCTCTGTGTCTACATCACTCTTTCTACATCATTCTCACATCACTCCATCTCTGTCAACATCACTCTCACATCACTCCATCTCTGTGTCTACATCACTCCGTCTCTGTGTCTACATCACTCTTTCTACATCATTCTCACATCACTCCATCTCTGTCAACATCGCTCTCGCATCACTCCGTCTCTGTGTCTACATCACTCTTTCTACATCATTCTCACATCACTCCATCTCTGTCAACATCACTCTCACATCACTCCATCTCTACATCACTCTGTCTACATCGCTCTCGCATCACTCCATCTCTGTGTCTACATCACTCCATCTCTGTGTCCACATCACTCCATCTCTGTGTCCACATCACTCCATCTCTGTGTCCACATCACTCCATCTCTGTGTCCACATCACTCCATCTCTGTGTCTACATCACTCCATCTCTGTGTCTACATCACTCCATCTCTGTCTCTACATCACTCCATCTTTGTCTCTACATCACTCTATCTCTGTCTACATCACTCCATCTCTGTGTCTACATCACTCCATCTCTGTGTCTACATCACTCCATCTCTGTGTCTACATCACTCCATCTCTGTGTCTACATCACTCCATCTCTGTGTCTACATCACTCCATCTCTGTGTCTACATCACTCCATCTCTGTGTCTACATCACTCCATCTCTGTCTCTCTATCTTGTCTCTATATTTATTCTCAAGATCTTTGTTGCACCTCCATCGTTTGTCTACGTCCACCCGCTCCACTCGCTCCTGGAGGTGCGGTCGCATCGAGCCAATGGCTCCGCACCGCGTGGGCGGCGAGAGGCAGGGAGGGGGCGAGCGGGGGGCGAGTTCACGGTACGAGCGGGCGAGCTTAGTCCAGGTTGTCGTCCGTGTCGACGGTGGTGGTGACGACGTTGCCGGCTGTGGCGGTGGCGGCGGCGGCGGCGGCCGAGTGGTCGCGTGGACGCTCCACCAGCTCCTTGAGCTCCGGGCACAGCTCCAGCAGGAACATCTGCAGCAGCACCTGATGCACAGTGACCATAGACAAAGATCCCCCATGTAGTCTTAGCGGACTGTTGGGGCGAGTGCTTCACTCGCTACCCATCGCCACCACTCAGCACCACTCAGCTTCACTCACCACCCATCGTCACCACCACTCACCACCTATCATCACCACTCAGCACCACTCACCACCCATCATCACCACTCACCACCACTCACCACCCATCACCAGCACTCACCACCCATCATCACCACTCACCACCCATCATCACCACTCACCATCACTCACCACCCATCACCACCACTCAGCTTCACTCACCACCCATCATCACCACTCAGCTTCACTCACCACCCATCATCACCACTCATCACCACTCACCACCCATCATCACCACTCACCACCCATCATCACCACTCAGCTTCACTCACCACCCATCATCACCACTCATCACCACTCACCACCCATCATCACCACTCACCACCCATCACCACCACTCAGCTTCACTCACCACCCATCATCACCACTCACCATCATTCACCACCCATCATCACCACTCACCACCCATCACCACCACTCAGCTTCACTCACCACCCATCACCACCACTCACCACCACTCACCATCACTCACCACCCATCACCACCCATCATCACCACTCACCATCACTCACTACCCATCATCACCACTCATCACCACCACTCACCATCACTCAGGTTCACTCACCACCCATCATCACCACTCACCACCACTCACCACCCATCATCACCACTCATCATCACTCATCATCACCACTCACCATCACTCACCACCCATCACCACCACTCACCACCACTCACCACCACTCACCACCCATCATCATCACTCACCACTCACCATCACTCACCACCCATCATCACCACTCATCACCACTCACCACCCATCATCACCACTCACCATCACTCACCACCCATCATCACCACTCACCATTCACCACCACTCACCACCACTCACCACCATTCACCACCACTCACCACCACTCACCATCACTCCTACCAGTCCACTCACGTAAATGAGGTGCTTGTTGGCGCGGTTCTCCTGGAGGCCGGAGAGCACCTTTAGGGTTCCGTGCCGGGCGTTCTCCGCTCCCACCAGGCCCTGCAGGATGTCTGCGTGGGCAAGATTCACGCACACGCACAAATATCCCCCGTGTAGCCTTAACAGACTGTCAGGTAAGTTCCGTTAGCGAGGAGTGCCTATGAAGGCCGCCACTGCACACGAGGGGGTGGGGGGTGGCCAGCACCGCGCCCGGCCGCCTTTGTCTCCCCACTGCTTGGGGAGGCCCAGGACCGATTCAGATCGTCGCCGATGTTGGTCGTGAACGGGAATCGAACCCGGGTCGAACCTACAAGCACGCATGCGTGTGCACACACGCGCGCACACAACAACCATCGCCATTTGCCACTAAGTGGCGGTGACGTCACCACGGCGCCTGTGCCAGGCTAGGTGCACTTTAAGGCTACGTGAAGTGTGGAACCCCCGCTGGCAGGAGGTCACGGGACAGACCCAGGTGCCATGGGTCGACTGACTGAGATGAGTGGCCGATGCACCACCTGTGCCCCGTCCTGTGCGAAGCCCTCCGTTGTTGCTGGAGGGCAACTGGCTCCAGATGCCCAGCAGCAGCGTCCTTCACGAGCCTTCTCCACCCACCCTCATCCACCGCAACCCACACCACCACCACCCCACCATCCATCACACCGCCACCCACACCACCACCCCACCATCCATGACACTGCCACCCACACCGCCATCCACCACCCCACCATCCATCTCACCACCACCCACACCTCCACCCACCCCACCATCTATCACACCGCCACCCACATCACCACCCCACCATCCATGACACTGCCACCCACACCGCCATCCACCACCCCACCATCCATCTCACCACCACCCACACCTCCACCCACCCCACCATCCATCACACCGCCACCCACACCACCACCCCACCATCCACCACCCCACCATCCATCACACTGCCACCCACACCTCCACCACCCCACCATCCATCACACCGCCACCCACCCACCCACACTCACCACCACCCCACCATCCATCACACCGCCACCCACACCACCACCCCACCATCCATGACACCGCCACCCACACCACCACCCCACCATCCATGACACCGCCACCCACACCACCACCACCCCACCATCCATCACACCGCCACCCACCCCACCATCCATCACACCGCCACCCACACCACCACCCCACCATCCATGACACCGCCACCCACACCACCACCACCCCACCATCCATCACACCGCCACCCACCCCACCATCCATCACACCGCCAACCAGACTCACCACCACTCCACCATCCATCACACCGCCACCCACACTACCACCACCCCACCATCCATCACACCGCCACCCACCCCACCATCCATCACACCGCCAACCAGACTCACCACCACTCCACCATCCATCACACCGCCACCCACACCACCCCACCATCCATCACACCGCCACCCACACCACCACCACCCCACCATCCATCACACCGCCACTCACACCGCCACCCACACCACCCCACCATCCATCACACCGCCACCCACACCACCACCCCACCATCCATCACACCGCCACCCACACCACCACCCCACCGCCACCCACCCACACTCACCACCACCCCACCATCCATCACACCGCCACCCACCCACACTCACCACCACCCCACCATCCATCACACCGCCACCCACCCCCCCACACTCACCACCACCCCACCATCCATCACACCGCCACCCACACCACCACCCACCCCACCATCCATCACACCGCCACCCACCCACACTCACCACCACCCCACCATCCATCACACCGCCACCCACACTCACCACCACCCCACCATCCATCACACCGCCACCCACCCACACTCACCACCACCCCACCATCCATCACACCGCCACCCACCCACCCACACTCACCACCACCCCACCATCCATCACACCGCCACCCACACCACCACCCACCCCACCATCCATCACACCGCCACCCACCCACACTCACCACCACCCCACCATCCATCACACCGCCACCCACCCACCCACACTCACCACCACCCCACCATCCATCACACTGCCACCCACACCACCACCCACCCCACCATCCATCACACCGCCACCCACCCACACTCACCACCACCCCACCATCCATCACACCGCCACCCACACTCACCACCACCCCACCATCCATCACACCGCCACCCACCCACACTCACCACCACCCCACCATCCATCACACCGCCACCCACCCACCCACACTCACCACCACCCCACCATCCATCACACCGCCACCCACACCACCACCCACCCCACCATCCATCACACCGCCACCCACCCACACTCACCACCACCCCACCATCCATCACACCGCCACCCACCCACCCACACTCACCACCACCCCACCATCCATCACACCGCCACCCACACCACCACCCACCCCACCATCCATCACACCGCCACCCACCCACACTCACCACCACCCCACCATCCATCACACCGCTTCCCCCACCCGTGACGTAGCCATGGAGGGCTCGTGCCGCGTGCGGTGCCACCGCACACCTGGGATGTTCTCGAGGAGCCGCTGGCGGGCGGCCACCCGGGCCTCGCGGGCGTGCGCGGGCGTGCGCGCGGGCCCAGCCGCGGCCAGGCGCCCGTTGGGCCAGTAGGCCTCACGCAGCGCGTTCACGTAGGACGCCACCATCGTCTCGCTGAACACAAACTCGATGCTCTCGCCGATCTGCCTGTAAGCGGTGGGGGGGGGGAGGGGGGTTGGGGTGTGGGGGGGAGGGGCATGGGAGAGGAACAGTGGTGATGTTTACACGCTTGATGCTGGCTGAGTCGACCTAGGGGAAGCCCAGGACTGCTGTGTTTGCATATATCACTCGTCGCTGGGAATTCAAAGCTGGCCACCGGTTTTCATATCGCAACGTGAGGCCAACGTCCGATCTTTTCTGCGGGGCTAACCAGCGTGGCCACCACTCCAAAGATAAAGATCCCCCGTATAGCCTCAGCGGACTGTTGGGGCAAGCGCTGTTAGTGAGGGGCCTATATGAAGGCCGATGCGGCACTCGAAAAGGGGTCGGCGGCCAGCACCACGCCCAGAATCAGAATATTTACACCGGACAAATCCGATGAGCCATCAAGCTCTTTTCCACGCCCGACCGCCTTTGTCTACCCAATGAGTGTTAACATGTGGGAGGAAATCGGAGCACCAGGAGAGATCCCCACGCGTGCGAGGGGGAAACGCTCCATCCCGTACGGACGTAACGGACGCGGGTCCGCACGTTGCCGCACCGCCCTCTCCTGGCAGAGCCAGGGCACGGCTCCCTCCTCGACGCTCGCGGGGAAGCGAGCTCCACCACGGCGGCGTCTGTGCACGGCGATCCACCAACCCCTCGCCCGCCGCTCCCTCGACTGCGCTGGAGCACTCCGGGCGGCCGCGTGCGGAGTAGCCACCACCAGCACCGCCGCCGCACGGGCTGAAGGGAGTCTCCAGACTTTCCCGGGCGAGCGGACGAGCGCCAATCTGACCCTCACCTGTTGATGGTTCTCCCAAAAGTGATCTGCACGAAGCCCATGAGCGTCTTCCGCACCCACTTAAACACTGCACGCACACACGGGGACGGACGGAGACAAGCGGAGACGAACGTCCTCCCCTTACGGGGCGAGATCGGAGCGATCCCGGGCGTGCGCGTGACCGTGGACGCGCGGTCCGGAGTGCGTGCGATCGTGTGGAGGGCGACACCCGGACGGTGTAATCTTCATTGTGTGATCCGGAGGCTTGAGACTCAGGTGACGTGATGCACAGTGTTTGATCTCGAGTGGTCTGGAACCCACGATCTGGAGTGAGCGATGGCGAATCTGTGATCTAGATAGCACGATCGGGAGCGTGCGGTTCAGATCGTGCGGTTCGGATCATGTAATCCGTGTCGCGCGATCCGTGTCGTGCGACCCGTGTCGCGCGACCCGTGTCGCGCGACCCGTGTCGCGCGACCCGTGTCGCGCGACCCGTGCCATCCTTACTTCCGCGCAGCTCGAAGATCTCCCCGAGGAGCAGGAAGCAGGGCTCGGCGATGGAGTCGCGCCGGCTCAGCAACCCGTCCACCTCGGAGTCGGAGAGGTCGCTGTCGCTCTCGTCCTCGTCCTAGCGGCGGGGACACCGTGCCACAAACAGGCAGGCGGGCAGGCAAACAACACGCAGACAGGCAGACAGGCAGACAGGCAGACAGGCAGATAAATAAATATAGAAAAGACAGATAGACGGGCAAAGGGACCGCAGCTCGGTGGGATTCAGTCGCGCGGTGTGTGAGTGAGTGTGTGTGTGTGAGTGAGTCGGTGGGTGTGTGAGTGGGTGTGTGAGTGGGTATGTGAGTGGGTGAGTGGGTGTGTGAGTGGGTGAGTCGGTGGGTGAGTGTATGGGTGTGTGGGTGTGTGTGTGTGTGCGAGTGGGTGAGTCGGTGGGTGTATGGGTGTGTGGGTGTGTGAGTGGGTCAGTCGGTGTGTGTGTGTGAGTGGGTGAGTCGGTGGGTGTGGGTGAGTCGGTGGGTGTATGGGTGTGTGAGTGGGTGAGTCGGTGGGTGTGTGTGTGGGTGAGTCGGTGGGTGTATGGGTGTGTGAGTGGGTGAGTCGGTGGGTGTGGGTGAGTCGGTGGGTGTATGGGTGTGTGAGTGGGTGAGTCGGTGGGTGTGTGTGTGGGTGAGTCGGTGGGTGTATGGGTGTGTGAGTGGGTGAGTCGGTGGGTGTGTGTGTGGGTGAGTCGGTGGGTGTATGGGTGTGTGAGTGGGTGAGTCGGTGGGTGTGTGTGGGTGAGTCGGTGGGTGTATGGGTGTGTGAGTGGGTGAGTCGGTGGGTGTGTGTGTGGGTGAGTCGGTGTGTGAGTGGGTGAGTCGGTGGGTGTGTGTGTGGGTGAGTCGGTGGGTGTATGGGTGTGTGAGTGGGAGAGTCGGTGGGTGTTTGAGTATGAGTGGGTGGTTGTGTGAGTGCACGTGTGTGTGCGTGTGCGTATGAGCGTGTGTGTGTGTGTGCGTATGAGCGCGTGTGAGCGTGGGTACGATTTGATTGCGCATCTCACGTCCTTGTGGGTGAGAAGGTCTCCCGGGAGGCGCTCCAGGAGGTTGGCCAGCGAGAAGCCGGAGCTCTTCTTGCAGCTGCCCGTGGTCTTGAGGTAGTCGGGCGAGGGCGAGAGGAAGGCGTACAGCGCCTCGCTCTGACACAGCTTGTCGTCGAAGAGGAGCTTCTGCAATGGGGAGGAGGACGTGGGGGGGGCGAGGAGGTGGAGGTCAAGGCTAGCTTGACGAGTGGGCGGGCGAGCGGGCGAGAGAGATAGTGAGCGGGCGAGCGTATGAGTGAGCGAGCGAGTGAGAGAGCGAGCGAGCGAGAGCGAGTGAGAGACTGAGTTAGCGAGCGATTGAGAGACTGAGTGAGCGAGCAGGCGGGCGAGCAAGCCTGTGAGCGAGAGAGACAGTGAGTGAGAGACTGAGAGAGAGATAGCAAGCGAGAGAATGGGTCAGCGAGTGAGATAGCGAGTGAGTGTGTGAATGAGTCAGCGAGTGAGATAGCGAGTGTGTGAATGAGTGAGCGAGTGAGAGAGATAGCGAATAAGAGTGCGAGCAAGTGAATGAGTGAGCGAGTGAATGAGTGAGCGAGCGAGTGAATGAGTGAGCGAGTGAATGATTGAGAAAGATAGCGAGTGAGAGAGCAAGCAGGTGAATGAGTGAGAAAATGAACGGAAAGCCTTCACTCAGGAGATGATATTTCGTGACGATGGTAACCGTGTAGAAAAGTGGTCACTTTGTCATTACCGGACAACCAGTGCGTTTCTAACGGAGCTCGGCATGAAACCAACGCCGCTGGTTAAAATGAGGCGGTGTAACGAAGTCGTTGAGTTCTCTCTACGTGAAGGGATGGACACGGGAGGAGGCGGACTGTCTGGCGAGTCCGATTTGTGTTGGAGAGCACATCCACAACATTTACAATCTGAGTGTGGATTTGCTCTCCAACACACCGGTGTGCTGTACTCGTGACGAATTGGCACGTTCTGTTTACGTGACAAACCTTACTCGTTGGCTGTGTCGGGTGGTGGTGGATTTAACGGCACATTTTATTTTTACGCGATCTAACCCAAAAAAAAAACCTCTGTTATGGATGACCCTGGTCGCGAAAGCCTCCTACATGTTAAACTGATCACTGAAGGCCTAACGAAACAGAAGTGGCCTAGGGCCGCCAAGACCCTTAATACGGCCCCCGTCATGGTGTTGTTGCAGCTGGGTACCTCCAGGAAGAGGTTGAGCTGGTTCTTTGACTTCTCGAGGAACTTCTGGTCGATGGATTTGAAGGGGATCTTACTCAGGGTGGGCAGAGGCATTTTCTTCAGTGCAGGGCAGCACTGCACGCACGGAGTTACACAATAAAAACCAAAAGACGAAAATCCTCGCTCCTCCCACCCACCTGCCCCGCCCGTGTAGCCTTTAACAGACTTTTAGAGGTAGTCAACATCTCCTAGCCACCGTGGCATCACTGGTGTTGAGCGTGAGCGGGTATCGAACACGGGTGGCCCTGGGTTCGTAGCGCAGTGCGCTAACCACGACGCTACCGCTCCCCACCACCACCAACTCACGCCGTTCGCCACTGAGTGACAGTGACGTCACCACGGCGCCCGTGCCAGGCCAGGTGCACTGAGGCCACGTGAAGCGTCGAAACCTCGCTGGCAGGAGGAGGTCACGGGACAGACCCGGCAGGTGCCGTGGCTTGGCTGTCTGAGATGACTGGCTGATGCACCACCAGCAGTACCCCCCCTACTGTGCCAGGCTAGGTGCAGGAGGTCACGGGACAGAGCCAGCAGGTGCCATGGGTTGGCTGACGGAGATGACTGCCCGATGCACCACCAGCTGTACCCCCTACTTCAAAAACAAAGAACCCCCCCCCCCGTGTAGCCTTAACAGAGTGTTGGGGGCAAGTGCTGTCATAGCGAGCAGTAGCACCTGTGAAGGCCGGCACGGCACACGAGGGGGTGGGTGGCCAGCACCACGCCCGCCTTCGTGGCGACATTTGTACGCATCGCACCAGGCAATCATTTGAGGCTGAGTAGACGTAGGGGAGGCCCAGGACCGGTTCAGATAATCGTCACTGCCACCTGGTGGCGGACAGCGGTCATTGTTGTTGTTGTGTGGCAGCTCAGAGGCTGCGGCGCAGAGAGTGTTCGACACCACTCAGCTGTGTATTGATGAAGATACTCCACGTGTGTGTGTGTGCATGAAAGTGGTAGTGTAGTGGTAAGCGCTATAACCCCGGCGACCCGAGTTCGATTCCTGCTCACAGCCAACACCGGTGACGATTATCTGAACCGGTCCTGGGCCTCCGCTAGGTCGACTCAGCCTCAAATGAGTACCTGGTGCGGTGCGTAGTAAACATCGCCACCGGGGAGACAAAGGCGGTCGGGAGTGGTGCTGGCCACCCACCCCCTCGCGTGCCGTTCCGGCCTTCACAGGTGCTGCTCGCTACTAACAGCACTTGCCCCTGCAGTCTGTTAAGGCTACACGGGGGACCTTTAGGTGTTGAGGCATGTCAGGGGGAGAGGTGGCGCAGTGGTTGGCGCTGCGCTACAAAGCCGGCAGAGGACCCGAGTTCGATGCCCGTTCGCAGCCAACACCAGCGACGATCATCGGAACCCCCTCCCGGGCCTTCCCCTAGGTCGACTCGGCCTAAAAACGAGCGCCCGCCGCCGCAGCGCGCGTCGTGTGAAACACCCGCACCCGGGGAGGCTCCGGCCACGCCGCTCGGTCGTCACGCCGCGTCGTCGGCCTTCGCCGGCGCTCGCCGCTCGCGGGGGGCCGCGCGGGGCGGGGGGGGGAGGGGGGGGGGCGCTTTTGCCGGGGAGGCGTCGCACCTCGCAGAGGCGGCGGTGCAGCCGGTGGAAGTCGGCGAGGGTGCGGGACACCACCCAGCCCATGGAGGAGGCCGAGGGGCGCTCGGCACGGCCCAGCTGCACCATGATCACGTAGCACGGCACCTGCTCGCCGCCCTCCTCCTCCGCCTGGGGAAGTCGTTCCCGCGCAAACGGACGCAAAGCCCGCACGATCACACGGTGCACTAACTCATAACTCACACACGGCGCACTAACTCACACCTCGCACACGGCGCACTAACTCACACCTCGCACACGGCGCACTAACTCACACCTCGCACACGGCGCACTAACTCACACCTCGCACACGGCGCACTAACTCACACACACACGGCGCACTAACTCACACACACACGGCGCACTAACTCAAACTCACACACACACACACAGACACGGCGCACTAACTCACACACACACAGACACGGCGCACTAACTCACACACACACACAGACACGGCGCACTAACTCACACACACACGGCGCATTAACTCATAACTCACTCACACACGGCGCACTAACTCACACACACACACAGACACGGCGCACTAACTCACACACACACGGCGCACTAACTCATAACTCACTCACACACGGCGCACTAACTCATAACTCACACACCCACGGCGCACTAACTCATAACTCGCACACGGCGCACTAACTCACACACACACACGACGCGCTAACTCACACACACGACGCGCTAACTCACACACACATGGTGCACTAACTCATAACTCACACACGGCGCACTAACTCACACACACACGACGCGCTAACTCACACACACACCTACGGCGCACTAACTCACACACACACACGGCGCACTAACTCACACACACACGGCACACTAACTCACACACACACGGCACACTAACTCGCACACACACACGGCGCGCTAACTCGCACACACACGGCGCACTAACTCACACATGACGCACAAACACACACACACACACGGCGCACTAACACACACACGGTGCACAAACACACACACACGGCGCAGACACGGTCCACAAACACACACACGGTGCACAAACACACACACACGGCGCACACACGGCGCACTAACACACACACGGTGCACAAACACACACACACGGCGCAGACACGGTCCACAAACACACACACGGTGCACAAACACACACACGGCGCACTAACTCGCACACGGCGCACTAACTCACACACACACGGTGCGCAAACACACACACACGGCGCACTAACTCACACACACATATATGGTGCACTACCAAAGACAAAGACCCCCCGTATAGCCTTAACAGATTGTTGGGGCAAGTGCTGTGAGCGAGCACCTATGAAGACACACAAGACAAGACTAATATCTTTGTTGTGTGTGTGTGGGCGACATGCACACATCTGTACGTAACACAAGGACAGACACACACAGACACACACAGGTACAGTGATGGAAAAAAGTATTTGATCCCCTGCTGATTTTGTACGTTTGCCCACTGACAAAGAATGATCAGTCTATAATTTTAATGGTAGCTTTATTTGAACAGTGAGAGACAGAATAACAACAAAAAATCCGGAAAAACGCATGTCAAAAATGTTATAAATTGATTTGCATTTTAATGAGGGAAATAAGTATTTGACCCCTCTGCAAAACATGACTTAGTACTTGGTGGCAAAACCCTTGTTGGCAATCACAGAGGTCAGACGTTTCTTGTAGTTAGCCACCAGGTTTGCACACATCTCAGGAGGGATTTTGTCCCACTCCTCTTTGCAGATCTTCTCCAAGTCATTAAGGTTTCGAGGTTGACGTTTGGCAACTCGAACCTTCAGCTCCCTCCACAGATTTTATATGGGATTAAGGTATGGAGACTGGCTAAGCCACTCCAGGACCTTAATGTGCTTCTTCTTGAGCCACTCCTTTGTTGCCTTGGCCGTGTGTTTTGGGTCATTGTCATGCTGGAATACCCATCCACGACCCATTTTCAATGCCCTGGCTGAGGGAAAGAGGTTCTCACCCAAGATTTGACAGTACATGGCCCCGTCCATCGTCCCTTTGATGCGGTGAAGTTGTCCTGTCCCCTTAGCAGAAAAACGCCCCCAAAACATATTGTTTCCACCTCCATGTTTGATGGTGGGGATGGTGTTCTTGGGGTCATAGGCAGCATTCCTCCTCCTCCAAACACAGCGAGTTGAGTTGATGCCAAAGAGCTCCATTTTGGTCTCATCTGACCACAACACTTTCACCCAGTTGTCCTCTGAATCATTCAGATGTTCATTGGCAAACTTCAGACGGGCATGTATATGTGCTTTCTTGAGCAGGGGGACCTTGCGGGCGCTGCAGGATTTCAGTCCTTTACGGCGTAGTGTGTTACAAATTGTTTTCTTGGTGACTATGGTCCCAGCTGCTTTGAGATCATTGACAAGATCCTCCCGTGTAATTCTGGGCCGATTCCTCACTGTTCTCATGATCATTGCAACTCCACGAGGTGAGATCTTGCATGGAGCCCCAGGCCGAGGGAGATTGACAGTTCTTTTGTGTTTCTACCATTTGCGAATAATCGCACCAACTGTTGTCACCTTCTCACCAAGCTGCTTGGCAATGGTCTTGTAGCCCATTCCAGCCTTGTGTAGGTCTACAATCTTGTCCCTGACATCGTTGGAGAGCTCTTTGGTCTTGGCCATGGTGGAGAGTTTGGAATCTGATTGATTGATTCTGTGGACAGGTGTCTTTTATACAGGTAACAAGCTGAGATTAGGAGCACTCCCTTTAAGAGTGTGCTCCGAATCTCAGCTCGTTACCTGTATAAATGACACCTGGGAGCCAGAAATCTGATTGAGAGGGGGTCAAATACTCATTCCCCTCATTAAAATGCAAATCAATTTATAACATTTTTGACATGCGTTTTTCTGGATTTTTTAGTTATTCTGTCTCTCACTGTTCAAATAAACCTACCATTAAAATTATAGACTGATCATTTCTTTGCAGTGGGCAAACGTACAAAATCAGCAGGGGATCAAATACTTTTTTCCCTCTGTACACACACAGATACACAGACAGACACACACAGACAGACAGACACACACAGACAGACACAAACAGACACACACAGACACACACACACACAGACACACACACAGACACACACACACAGACACACACACAGACAGACGCCACACGCGTGCCACCTCGCAGTGGGAGATGGTGGCCGTCCACTGGCCGATCTTCTCCCACCAAGTGTCCGTGCGCTCGATGTGGAAGTCCAGCTCCTGGCACTCCTTCCTCAGCGCCGCGATGTCACTCTCCAGCTTGCCCACCATCTGGGGGCAGGGGCGGGAGGGGCGGGAGGGGCGGGAGGGGCGGACGCAGCGGCCATTCTACAGCGGGCACCGCACGCTCGTTTGTGCCCACCCGGTTGTATTGTCGTGCGTCTCATTTGTAGTTTTTAATCTCGTTTGTATTGTTCTGTCTCGTTTGTATTGTTCTGTCTCGTTTGTATTGTTCTGTCTCGTTTGTATTGTTCTGTCTCGTTTGTATTGTTCTGTCTTTTTTGTATTGTTCTGTCTTGTTTGTATTGTTCTGTATGTCTGTATGTCAGTATTGTTCTGTCTGTCTGTATTGTTCTGTCTGTCTGTATGTCAGTATTGTTCTGTCTGTCTGTATGTATTGTTCTGTCTGTCTGTATGTCAGTATTGTTCTGTCTGTCTGTATGTATTGTTCTGTCTCGTCTGTACTGCGTCTCATTTGTTCCGTCTCGTTTGTCCCGAGCGTTGTTGCCGTGAACGGACAAATGAACGAATGCGGAGGCACCGCCACCGCCACCGCGGTCAGCGTGACGACGGCCACCGCACCTTGCGGTCCGGCTTGGGGGCGGTGAGGATGGACGCCAGCGCCTGCCGCTTGTACTCCAGCTTCTCGCTCAGCTGCTGCAGCTTGGAGACGGCGGCGTCCGTCTGCTCGCAGGGGGGGCTGCCCCCGCCCCCGGCCCCGCCCCCGGCCCCGCCAAGGCCACCGCGGCCGCCACCCTCCTCGGCCTGCGTGGGGAGGGGGGTGGGGTTGGGGAGGGGGGACAGCAGGAATAGAAGCTGGAGTATTACCATCGTTATCATCGTCGGCAGAAGCACAGCATTATCATCAAGAGCCAGCAGCATTTTCACCATGAACAGCAACAATCGTAGCATTATATTATCATCAGCAGCAGAAGCAGCAGCATTCCCATCGACAGCAGCACTATCTTATCAGTAAGGAGGCCTTTGGATAAACACCATCGCCCCCACCCCCTACTGCACAAACTTGGCAGGACACTGAAAGTGCAAGAAGAATGGCAGCAGTCGTGACAACAGCAACAACAGAGCGTGGGGAGAGGCCTGGTGTGGAGAGTGGTGTCGAGGTTGGGCTAAAACTCCGGCTCAGCGTGAAACGCGGCACGCGCGGTGTGCGTGCGGTTCCTGCTGTGGCGAGCGTGCATGTGCGTACGTACGTGTGTGCGCGTGCGAGTGTGCGAGCGTGCGTGCGTGCGCGTGTGGAAGTGAATTTGCACGGTCAGCGCACACAGAGTTCCGTGCGCGTGCGGGGAGCTGCTACTGCCACTGCACTGCTGGTAAGTGCCCCGCTATCTCTCTCTCTCTTGTCTTTCTCCACCGATGTCACGAATCACAAATTGGGTTTCTATCAGGTCGGATCGTCGCGCAGCAGCGTCGTGTCAATTTATGCGACGCTAAATGCTAACCACCACCGCCACCACCACCACCAGCCGACGAAGGCAGTCAAACCACGGGATGAGGGCCTGAGCTGTTGTTATCACCTCACGATGATGATGATGATTGCTGGCTGTAATCTCCAGCAAAACGTCTTCAGAGGAAAACTGTCAAAAGTTGCTCGGGCTTTTCAACATCCCCCCTCCGCCTCGGGTTTTGCCGATCAACTAAAATCAATCGGCACTTTTCCTGCGCGACGTGACAACTCCATTTTGCTCGCTCTCCCGCTGGGCCGGTAGAGGGTTTACGGTTAAATAAAAAGATACAAATTTTGACACGGCAATTCCGAGCCCAAAAGGAACCGATCGTGCTGCTTGGGGAATGTTTTTGGGCAAGCGATAGACCCGAGTCTGCGTTTCTCGATTGCAGCCAAACGCGCGCCTCCCCGTTCAAACGGAGCAAACGGCCACCATTAGGCGGCCGTTTGGTGGAAATTCTGCATTACCGTGGCGGGGGTTTAGTCCACTTTCCGGATTAGCCGACATTGTTACGGACTGTCAGCGGGGGGTGTGGCGTGTGTGTGGCGGTGTGGACAGCACCACACGTGCCTGGGTGCCTTTTGTCTCGGCGGCGGTGAAGTTCGTTTTGAGGCCGAGTCAACCTAGGGGAGGCCCAGAACTCAGGTCGCTGGGTTCATAGCGCAGAGTGCTAACCGCTACAGTACACAGACTCGCACAGAATTGCACACGAGAAAATGCGCACGCGCCAACACAATGACACCACCAGAGCCTCCCCCACTTCTGCCCTCAGCTGCTGCCCAACACAACAGCAGCCGCACTCACGTGAGTGCAAGCGCTTCCATCCTCGTCTCTCTCCTCGCCGTCGTCTTCTTCCATCTCATCCTCCTCCTCCTCCTCGTCGTCCTCTTCCTCCTCCACCACTTCCTCCTCCACCACCACCACATCTTCCTCTTCCTCCTCCTCTTCGTCATCTTCCTCTTCCTCCTCCACCTCCTGGCGCTGCTGCTCCCCATCGGCCGCCCCGGAGCCCCGCACGACGGCAGGGCGGCGCCCCTCGGGCCCGTCGGCGGCGGGCGGCGTGCCAGCGTCCGCGTCGTCCTCGCCGGCGCTGCCCGCCAGCCACGCATCGTAGGCCCGGCTCACGAGGAACGAGGGGTAGTACTTGTCCCGCAGGGAGGAGGCCACGCCCGCCTGGATGCCGTGCAGCACCTCGGGGCCGCGCTCGCCCGAGATGCACTCCTGCACTGCGCGGTAGCTGGCGCGGTCGACCGCGATGGCGCGCCGGCTGTCCACGAAGAAGTCCTGGTAAATCTCGCCCACGATCTGAGCCGTGTCGGTCTGTCCGGGGGGGTGGGCGGGGCGGGTGGGGGGCACGGGGCGACGGGGTCGAAGGTCGGAAGGTCAGCGGTTTTAAGGAGCAGTGGTCAGTTGTGAAGAAGTATCATTCCCAGAGTGAGGCTCTCCCATCGATTGATTTTAATCGGAGCCGAGGGAGGACTGCCCTCCGGCTGTTTCACGCAACTGGCTAATGTGAGGCCTGTCTGTCTGTGTAGTGTCTAGAGACCCCACCAGGACCAGTCTCTCTGTGTAGTGTCTAGAGACCCCACCAGGACCAGTCTCTCTGTGTAGTGTCTAGAGACCCCACCAGGACCAGTCTCTCTGTGTAGTGTCTAGAGACCCCACCAGGACCAGTCTCTCTGTGTAGTGTCTAGAGACCCCACCAGGACCAGTCTCTCTGTGTAGTGTCTAGAGACCCCACCAGGACCAGTCTCTCTGTGTAGTGTCTAGACACCGGTCAGTCACATTTAACAACCGGTTGCAGACATTTTGCTGGTAGTTAACAACCAGCATCATCAGGCTGCGGCCGGCGCCGTTGTTGTGTCGCCAGCGACCTTGGGCGCTTGCTTGAGGTGCTCCACCGCCTCCCAGTAGTCCAGCAGCGTGCGCTTGTCCCAGCGCTCCAGGTAGCGGCCGAAGCACTGGCGCGCGGACGCGCTGGCGAGCACCTCCTCGAACTGCAGCAGCTGTGACGAGAAATCGCACGCACAAGGACGCAGATTGCCCCTGCAGCCTCAACAGAACGTCGGGGCGAGTGCTGTTCGCGAGCGCCTGTGAAGGCCGGCACGGCACACGACGGGGTGGGCGGCCAGCACCACGCCCGGCCGCCTTTGTCTCCCCAGTGGCGATGTTTACGACACACCGCGCCGGCGTACTCATTTGAGGCCGAGTCGACCAGGACCGGTTCAGATAATCGTCACCGGTGTTGTTGGTGGCCATGAGCGGGAATCGAACTCAGGCCCTCGGGTTCGTAGCGCGGCGCGCTCCACCACCGCTCCACCACCGCTCCACCACCGCTCCACCCACCGCTCCACCACCGCTCCACCACCGCTCCACCCACACGTACGCACGCACGGACGCACACTGGTACGCGCGCAAAGACGACGATCCCCCGGCTAGCCCACGCAGGCTGTTGGGACGAGGGCCGACAGCGAGTGGCACCTAGCAAGGCCGGCACGGCGTGAGGTGGTCGAGTCTCAGGAGGGGCTGAAAACGGGAGTTGAACCCAGAATGCCGGCGGCGCTGAAGCGGCCATCGTGAAACCGACCGCGCCGACCCGAAAGTCCTCGGCGAAACCCCCGCACGCTCACGAATCCGGTTGCAACCTCCGGAGAGCGAACTCGGCCATCGAACCCAGGCGCTCCGCGTGTCCTCCCCCCCCCCCAACCCTCCGCGGGGGGGGGGGGGGGGGGGGGGCGGGCGAGACTCACGCGGCGGTGCGGGGTGGTGGCAGGCGGCCCCCCCCTCTCCCCGTCGGGGACGGCAGCGCCCCCTCCCCGCGGGGGCCAGGCCCCCCCGCCCAGCAGTGCGATGCGCTTGTCGCACTGCGCTCGCGCCACCGTCAGCTGGTTCAGGTAGCGCTTCACGTTGCGCGAACGCAGCAGCTCCCCCTTGCCGGCCTCCCTGCTCACTGGCGGGTGGGGGGGAGCGTGGGGGTGGAGGGCGCGTGGGGGTGGGGGGGCGTGGGGGTGGGGGGCAGCGGGGGTTGGAATTGGTCGACGCGTCGCACCTCGAATCGATTCTCTCGCGCGTTCGTCTCCGTCATCGCGCGCGAGGAGACGCAGGGGAGCGTGGGGGGGGGGAGGGAAGGGGAAGTTGAGGGATGTGGGGGGGGGGGGGGCCGAGGAAGGGAAGTAGAGGATGGGGAGGAGGGGGCAGCAGGAGGGGGCGGAGGAGTGAGCCCAGGGTCAGTCGGTCCTCGTGGTTTAATTTGCACCGGGGCTGTAATCCGATTACCGGAGTCATTGAGGACTCCACCGATAATGATCGGTTCGGTCCCTCGACCACTCGTGCAGCACGAGAGCGGGTGGAAATAACGACTCTCGCACCTGTTCCCGCGTGTGCCGCTGGACGGGAGGTGACAGGCGGGGGACTGGTGACGCCGTCGGCATCATCATCATCATCATCGTCGTGCGTCGCGCTGGTCATTTACAAATCTTCGTCGATTAATCCGTTATGGAGCCGGCGTTCCACCACGAGCTCTGATCAACGCGTCTCGTTGCTATGGACACGGTCACAGAGCGGTAACCTGGTGATCCGTGCAAGTCAACATCAGTCTATCTCCGCGTGCTCACGTGCGCGCGCGTCTACGGCACGCACACACGAGCGTGTGCGTGGATGTACACTCAACTTCTTTCGCACCGTACGTAGCCAACCGCGCTAATCGGAGGTGCGGAGGCCGCACCGGTTAGCGCACCGCGCTACGAGCCCGGCGACCCCGGGGTTCGATCGCCGCTCAGAATATTCATTTACCCTGGAGGACATCCGACGAGCTACGAAGCTCTTCCGCACGGACGTCCGATGTCCGAACCGCCGCCGAGCCTCCGCTCGCTCGACTCGCTCCCCTTGAACGAGCGACTGCTCGTGCGGCGTGTTAACGTCACCAGACGAAGGCGGCGGGGCGTGCGAACGGCACTTGCCCCCGACAGCCCCTTAAAGGCTACGTGGGGTGGGGGGGGGGGGGGGGGGGGGGGGGGGGGGGGGGGGGGGGGGGGGGGGGGGGGCGAGGGTGGGGGTGGGGGTCCTTTGCCTTGGTGCTCGTAGGCCGCGGGTGAACGGAGGCTCCGCGGGTTTAGCGGGGGATATCGCTTTGCCGGCTGGCTCGGGCTCCGAGCCCTCGGCGCCATCGGCCTCTCACCGTTCTTGACTTGCGGGAAGTGGCTGAGCGTGGTGGCCTGAATGATCTCCACCATGATCTGGTACCTGCGCACGGGCACCGGACGACGCGTCAGCGCAGGCCGCCCGGGAGAGGTCCAGAAAAATTGTCAAAAGCGGCCGCGGCGAAACGGACGGCGGCGGTGCGGCACGCGGGTCGGAGTGGTGACGGAGGCAGACGCGTCGGGGGCGGGTCGAAGCGGTCACCTGAGCTGCATGAGGAAGTCGATGTCGCTGCTGCCGTGGATGAGTTTGACGAAGTCCTCGTAGCTGGGCGCGTAGGCGTAGGAGCGGGCGTGCTTGCCCCCCGCGCCGCCGCCGCCGCCGCGACGCTCCAGCTCGGCGAGGAGCGAGCGGTTCACGAAGTCCGGGTCACTCAGCAGCTCCACCAGCGGCTTCAGCACTGAGGCCGGAGACAAAGATCACCCCCCCACCAACCCCACCAACCCCACCAACCCCACCAACCCGGAGCCTTCGACGGGCCTGTCGGGGCGGCCGTCGCGAGTAACACGGCTAACGAGTGGGCGGGCGGTCAAACGCCACGTCCGGCCGCCTTTGCCTCCCCGGTGCCTTCCCGGATCAAACATTCGGTCGCGAGCGGGAATCGAACCCGGGTGGCCGAGTTCGCAGCGCAGGGCCCTAAACCGCGACCATTCCCACTCCCTGCTCGGGCACACAAAATTTAAAAACCAGACCGTTGGGACGCCGTCGTTTTAGACCCCCGCGCCGGGAGAGAGAATCGGCGACTTCCGGCGCCGACCCGAACCGAGAATGCGCCCGAGGGGCAGATGTGGGGGGCGTGTGGGGGGGCACGTGGGGGGCGTGGGGGGGGCGTGGAGGGCGTGGGCGGCAGGAGGCCGTGTGGGCACCTCTCACGGCGAACACCTCCGTGAGGACGACGACGAGGCCCAGGGAGCGAGCGTCGCGCCGCGGCAGCAGCGCCAGCAGCAGCGCCCGCGTGCACGCGCGCACAAACTGCAGCTCCGCCTGCGAGCTGCGCAGGCACGGGTGCAGCGGGAAGGGGAGGCGCTCCGCCTCCCACCTGCCAATCGCAGCGCAGGCCACGCCCACGAGTGAATTGTCTCCGCCTCCTGGCTGTCGATCACGGAACAAGCCTACAGCTTGCTAAGGTGGCCAGATGTTAACTACCTCGCCTGGTATGCAGGAGGTCGTGGGTTCGATCCTGACCCTGACACCTGCTGCTGCTGTATATTTGGAGTTTGCGTGTCTCTCTCCCCCCGTGGTCGCGTGGAGTTTTCTCCGGGTCCTCCGGTTTTCTCCTCCACATTTAGCAACACGCGTTTACAGTGTTTGGCTACTTCTATACATTTCTACGTAATGAGCCACTTCGTTGAGCTATCATTTGTGGCCAGGCCGCTCCTGAAAAAGAACTGTACAGCCGAGCGGGCCTTACCTGCTAAGATAACCATTTATTTTCATACAAACGCAGCGGTTTCAGTGCTAAAAGACAAACCGCAACGGTGAAAGCCACAGCGGTGGTGGTGCGCGAGTGCGGCACACCTGTCGCTGGCGACGCGCAGCGCGGCAAAGTGCGCGGTGAGGGCGCGCGCCAGGTCCCGGGCGACGAGCCGCGGCGCGTCCACGCGGCCCAGCCGCGAGCGGGCCTCCCGCACGGCCGCCCACAGGTCCTCGGTGAGCAGGGCCTGCAGCGTCGCCTGGTCCAGGCTCAGGGGCGCGTACCACGAGAGCACAAAGTCCCGCAGCACGTACTCCCACACTGCACGGCGGCGTGGAGGCGCGCGGGGGAGACATTAACGAGTGCCTGGTGCGGGGTGCAAACACTGACACAGAGACGGCTGGGCGTGGCGCCGGCCTTCATGGGTGCTCGCTAACAGCACCCGCCCCTAGGGTCTTTACGGCTACTCAGGGGACCGGCCGCTGTTTGTGCGCCCGCACGTCTATCGATGGGGAGCGGCGGTGTGGCGGTCAGCGCGCCGCTCCTCCGACCCGAGTTCGATAGCCGCTCACGGCCGGTCCTGGGCCTCCCCTAGGTCGACTCGGCCTCAAGCGTACTTGGTGCGGTGTGTAAACATCGCCACTCGGGAGATAAAGACGGCCGCCCACCACCCTCTTGTGTGCCGTGCCGGCCTTCATAGGCGCTCGCTAACAGCACTTGCCCCAACAGTCTGTTAATGCTACACGGGGCGAGAGGCGATCTTTGTCTATCAGCTGTTCATCGCACCTTCCTTGAGCGCCTTGTCCATGGTGTGAGACAAGTGGATCCGTCTGTTCTGCGAGCACTGCGACGGGATCGCCATTATCGCCCTCTGAAACACGGAACGGGGGCGAGAGTGCGCGCACATCACAAGGGTGGCGTGGCAAAGACCCCCCTCATCCCTCCTCCCCTCCATCCCCCTCCCTCATCCCCTCCCTCATCCCCTCCCTCATCCCCTCCCTCATCCCCTCCCTCATCCCCTCCCTCATCCCCTCCCTCATCCCCTCCTTCATCCCCTCCTTCATCCCCCTCCCTCCTCCTCCCTCCTCCCCCTCCCTCCTCCTCCTCATCCCTCCTCCCCCTCCCTCGTCCTCCCCCTCATCCCTCCCTCCCTCCTCCTCCCTCATCCCTCCCTCCCCCTCCTCCCCCTCATCCCTCCCTCCCCCTCCTCCCCCTCCCTCCTCCTCCCTCCTCCCCTCCATCCCCCTCCCTCCCCCTCCCTCCTCCTCCCTCCTCCCCCTCCCTCCTCCCCCTCATCCCTCCTCCCCTCCATCCCCCTCCCTCCTCCTCTCCCCCTCCTCCTCGTGATACATTTTTTCGTGGCTTTCCAACTCGGACCGAGAGCGCCATTGCCAGATCTCTGTCCGCCCGTCCGTAACGAAGGGAAGGGGGGGGGGGCAGTTCACGGGGACTCTCGTGACGATGATCCAATCCGACTTCAAGTTTGGTACAAAGTTGTGTTGCCGTCTAGGCCCGTGGCCCAAAACTTTGGAGATTAACACCGGCGCCTTGCCGACCAGCGCGGGCAATCCGCTCGCTCCTGACGACATCACAATATCGACTGCCGTTCATTTCAAGGCCCACACGCTGGCAGTGTTGTCATTGACATTCGCACATACGTACGCACACACACGTACGCACGTACGCGTGTGTGCGTACGCACGTTTGAACTTCTTTCGCACCGCTCACGTAGCCAACCGCGCTAGTCGGAGGTGTGCGGGGGAAGGACAACAAACAGGCAACAAAAGGCGGGTCTCAAGAAACGTGCTTTCAACCCCGCGGCGTCACACGCGGCCTGAAGCGGAACTTTACAATCGCTGATGCAATACTTCCCGAGGGCAAACGCATGAAGGAAAGCGTCACGGACGCCCACCATTTCTTTAGAACTGCTCTTTGTTGTTGCGTTATAGTTTGTTGTCCTTCCCCCGCACCTCCACTTAGCACGGTTGGCTACGTACGGTGCGAAAGAAGTTCGACGTACATACGTACGTGCATATGCACGATTATTCTTGACATCATTAAACGCCGGTTTGCGCCATCGACGTCACGGGATAAAGAATCCATCGAGAACTCTCAGAGGGCGGTGCGACCCTCTTTGTGTCATCAGAGCACAGCCCTCGTTGATGTGGATATCACAGAGCCGCATGTGAGATCGCTTCGCGCGACCCCTAGGCCACACACAGGGGAGAGGGCAGGGCGCTTTCCCACGCACGCGCGCGGCAACGGCGAGTAATGCTCGCTCGTAGCAGCGCGGTCGACCGCCTCCGAGCTGGAATTTATCCCAACGAAGTGCAGAATAAATGAATGTGAATAGCGAAGCAAAAGATTTCGTGCAGTCGTTCATGACCAGGCTGAGACCATCAACTCGGTAAACTTGAGAACCCGGTTCTCAACCCAGATTCAAACCCAGGACCTCAGGAGTACGGGCTGCAGTGCCCGGACACAGCCATTATGAACCCCTCTAAGAGAGACAGCGACATTCAGACCAGGAGACTACATCCAGAGCAAGGATTAGAACCCAGGATACTTCAGAAATGGCAACCTTAGTGCTCAGATACATCCTGAACTAAAACTGGATTTTTTTTTTATTTTACCAGGTAAGGCCCACTGAGCTATGTAGCTCTTTTTCAGAAGTGACCCGGCCACAAATGATAGCACAACGAAGTGGCTTATGACGTGGAGATTTATAGCAGCAGCCAAATGCTCTGAACACGTGACGTTGATTCTAAATGGAGGGAAAAACCGGAGGACCAGGAGAAAAATCCACGCCACCACGGGGAGGAGAGAAAGAGAGACACACAAACCCCCAATTATACAGCAGGCGTTGTCAGGGTCGGGATCGAACCCACGACCTCCTGTAGACCAGGCGAGGTAGTTAACATCTCCTAGCCACCGTGGCTTCCCATCCTCAGTGGTACCGGGTCAGGGCTCAGCCTCCCCATTCCAGGCTTTTGCCCATCGCAATCCCCCCCACCCCCCCCCCCCCCTTTGTCTTTCCAACGCACGACGCGTCGTCACTTTTCAGACCAGCCCCAGATTTCTGCCGCCCTCGCCAGCTACGACCAGGCCTATCCCAACCCCTTCCTTATCAACCCCTCTTGGTTCTGCCGTCATCGAAACTACGCCACCACTCACGACAGCCCCAATCCTTCATTTCAAATCATTCTCACGCCACGTACAATCTCGCAATTCAACTCGTAAGCGTCTCGGCTAAAATGCGCCGTACGAATCTCGATAAGACGTTCGGACGATAGCGCGAGCCTCCCTCCCCCCGCGGAGCGGCCGCCGCGAGCCGCTCGAGGCGGCCGCCTCACCGAGAGCTCCTCCAGGCGCTCGTGGGCGAGCGACCGCCGCTGGAGCCGCCGGCGCCTCCACAGTCGCCGCTGGCGGAAGCGCGGGCCGGGCTCGGCGGCGGCGGCGCCGGCCCTCAGCGCGTCCACCACCCCGAGCGCGAAGCAGACGCCCCACAGCAGCGCCAGCAGCAGCGCCCGCAGCCCCGGCAGCAGCGCCGGCAGCAGCAGCGGCAGGGAGAGCCCCGCGGCCAGCAGGGCCCAGCCCGTGGCGAACACCAGGAGCGAGCGCGAGGGCGGCCCCGGGGAGGACGGAGCGGTGGCGCTCACCGCCGCGGTGGCGGTGCAACCGGGATCCTGGCCCGCTCTGACACTCGTGCCAATGCGTAGGGCGACACTGCTGTTGTTGTTGCTGCCGCTGCTGCCGCCAGCGCCGCCACCGCCATCTTCTGCAGGCATGGCTGCGGTGGTGTCCATCATGCGAGGTGAGTCATTGCGCTGGCGCTAGTGTGTTTGGCCGGTGGCGGCAATGGTGGTGGTGGAATTTGGTGGGGCCAGGAATGATTTTGTGATATAGAGCTTCCGCTGCTGCTGCTGCTGTGTGTGTGGTGATGCCGATGGTGATGCCGATGGTGATGATGCTATTGGTGATGCATTGCTGCTGCTGTGTGTGTGGTGATGCCGATGGTGATGATGCTATTGGTGATGCATTGCTGCTGCTGTGTGTGTGGTGATGCCGATGGTGATGCCGATGGTGATGCCGATGGTGATGCCGATGGTGATGCCGCTGATGCTATTGGTGATGCATTGCTGCTGCTGTGTGTGTGGTGATGCTGATGATCATTGCAACTGATGCTGCTGCTGTTGCCAAAGTTGATGCTATTGCTGCTGATGCTGTCTTCAATTCCACCGCTGTTGCTGCGTCCGCTGCAATCGTCTTCACGTTTTCAGTCCTGCTGCTCAAAGCTGCTGCTGTTGTTGCTAAAAGAACAACAGACAAGGAGGAAAAATCATGAAAGAAGCAATGGACTCGACAGTGCTTTCCACAATACACGTTTGTCCTCGGCATGATTTCGGTGATATCAGCGCTACGTCGTAAGCGAGTTCTATCCGAGTTCAGGGCTAATGACAGCGGCGAGTAACATCAGAACGGGTCCAGTGATATATGAACCAATCAGCACTGCCCAGCGTGGTGAAGTAATGCATGTACCAGTTTCTGCTCCTCACTCACAACTCACTTGTTCCCTAGCTCACCCCACGACTCCCCCCCCCCCCTTCGTCTCCTTCTCATAGCCACCACCGCCGTTCCTGATCCCTCTTCATATTCTCATTACACGGTGATCACTCATTCACCCCGTTCATTCAACCCATTCATCATCACCATGATTTTCTGTCATAAATTTCTCTTTCACCAAATCACGCATCGCAGATTCGCCCCCATTGCTTCCCTCTCGTCCATTTCATTCACTGCATCTTCACCATTACATTCACACACGAGTTGTTATTCTTGTCGTTGTTGTTGTACCGTTGTTAACGCTTTGTAAAGCCCCTTGGTTAAGGCGCTGTGTAAATTGCGTTAATATAAGATGCATGTATGTACATATGGCGAACTTATTTCGCAACGTATGTAGCCAACCGTGCTCATCGGAGGTGCAATGTTGAGTCTATGGGCAGTGTTGAGTCTATGGGCAGTGTTGAGTCTATGGGCAGTGTTGAGTCTATGGGTAGTGTTGAGTCTATGGGCAGTGTTGAGTCTATGGGTAGTGTTGAGTCTATGGGCAGTGTTGAGTCTATGGGCAGTGTTGAGTCTATGGGCAGTGTCGAGTCTATGGGTAGTGTTGAGTCTATGGGCAGTGTTGAGTCTATGGGTAGTGTTGAGTTTATGGGCAGTGTTAGTCTATGGGCAGTGTTGAGTCTATGGGCAGGGTTGAGTCTATGGGCAGTGTTAGTCTATGGGCAGTGTTAGTCTATGGGCAGTGTTAGTCTATGGGCAGGATGTATGTACGTTGAACTTCTTTCGCACTCTACGTAGACAACCGGGCTCATCGGAGGCACGGAGCTGCCTGTGGTGTGCCGTAACTACAATGGTCAAACAGCCAGCAGCAGTGGATTGACAAAAGGGCTGTACAATAATAATGTTATTACCACAGACAACAACCACATTAAAATAACCACATTTCGCAAAACCGCATCAAATGCAGTCGCTCAGCGTGGCTGTGTGATTCTCGTCGTGGTTCTGGTGGTTGTGTGATGCACGTCGTGGTTCTGGTGGTTGCTCTGTGGCTGTGTGATGCACGTCGTGGTTCTGGTGGATGCTCTGCGTGGCTGTGTGATTCTCATCGTGGTTCTGGTGGTTGCTCTGTGGCTGTGTGATGCACGTCGTGGTTCTGGTGGTTGCTCTGTGTGGTTGTGTGATGCACGTCGTGGTTCTGGTGGTTGCTCTGTGTGGTTGTGTGATGCACGTCGTGGTTCTGGTGGTTGCTCTGTGTGGCTGTGTGACGCATGTCGTGGTTCTGGTGGTTGCTCTGCGTGGTTTTGTTTTGCTCTTCGTGGTTCCGGCGGATGCTCGGCGTGGTTGTGGCGTAGTCGGTGAGCCCATGGTGGTTCAATCATGCTTTTGTGTAATTGTGTCACGTGCTAGTGGTCACACCGAAACGTCGTAAGCCGATGCGATTTGCCGTGCGGTTGTTGTAAGGTGGTTGTTGCGTAATAAGTTTATGTAACTGCGGTTGTAATGCTAAATTAAAGAGGGATTTAATTACCCTGTTTAGACCTAGATTGTAAACTGCACTGTGTAAGCACTCTGCAGCACCACACTAAACCACTCTGTACAACCACACACTTCCAAACTCCATAACCACACTACACAACCATAAACAATCACAATTATATAAATTAAAAAAAGATGGACGACATTGTCATCCTCTCGGCCGACAAGGGCAATGCCACTGTCATCATGAATAAAATAGAATATAACAACAAAATTCAAGAATTACTCAACGATGGCAGCTATACAAAAATAAAAAGATCCCACCAACAGCCTCGTCATACAAACCAACAAAATCATTTCTGATTCAACCGCATTAATTGATCAAACCAAACAGTTCTCGTTGAAACCTTTCTGCTGCCAGGCCACCAAGATTATACGGCTTACCAAAAATACATAAAGTAGATACACCCCTTCGTCCCATCGTCTCTACTATCAACTCCCCCCACCTACAAACTGGCTCGTTTTCTGTCTGAAATCCTGCAGCCTTTCACTGGAAAAACCACCTCTGCGGTACAAAATTCTACTCACCTGGTACCGACAATCACGGGTATTTCCCTGTCCCCAGACGATCTGCTTGTCAGTTTTGATGTAGTTTCCTTAGTCACCAAAGTTCCTGTACCTGACACCATCGCAATCATTGAAGACTTGGTTCATCAAGGACTAAACACTGAGGTACCCCCCCCCTGGTGAGACACTGCTTAACCAATACATACTTCACTTGGAATGGAACTTTCTACAAACAAACTGAGGGCACCCCAATGGGCTCCCTCCTATCTCCGGTTGTAGCCAACATTTTCATGGAGAAATTTGAGACTGACGCCATCCAGACTGCCACTCTGCGCCCAACCTTATAGAAGAGGTACGTGGATGACACTTTTGTCATCTGGCCACATGGCCGGCCTGCTCTAGACCAATTCCTCGACCACATCAATTACATACACCCAGCCATCAATTTTTTTGGATGTCCTAATTAAAAGGAGACCTGATGGTTCAATGAGCCACTCTGTCTACAGGAAAACTACCCATACGGATGCTTACTTAAAACCGGATTCCCACCACCATCCATCCAACAAGAATTCCCTCATCAAGACCCTATACCATAGAGCCCAATGCATTTCCGACCAGGAACACATTGCCAGTGAACTCAAGCACGTACACCAAGCTCTCAAGGCTAATGGTTACTCAGACTACACAATCCGGAAAGCCATCACTCCAACCATGAAGAAGGACCCTCTTGAGGAGCCATTCAAAACCATAACCTTACCCTACATTGCGGGGGTCACAAAAAAGATCTCCAAAATCCTGAATAAACACAAGATCCAGGTCCGATTCAACACAGCACATAAAATCCGTGATCTGGTTCCGTCTGTAAAAGATGTGGTTCCAGACATACAGTACCCGGGCGTCTACAAACTAAGTTACCTCTGTGGTAGCAGCTACATTGGAGAAACCAAACGACATATCTCGGACCGCATCCGTGAACATAAAGCAGACTTGAAACACGGTAGCACGAACACCTCAGCCGTGGTAGATCACTGTTATAATTCGGTGGGCTCACATGACATTGACTTCTCCAAGACGGAGATTCTCTGCAAGCCATCCGGCTACCATGAGAGATTCGTTCATGAGGCTATCCACATATACACAGAGACAATTTCAACCGAGAAGATGGATTCTGGCTTAGTAACCATTGCAAAGACGTTATAAACCATTTCAGTTATTGATTGTATTTTACGGTGACTTTCAGACCGCAGTCCATTCCTGGCACTGCCTCAATACCTTTCACACGACGGTCAATGGTATGGTTTATAGAATAATAAATAGCATAACAATGTAATGTTTAACATAATTCATAAGGCAATATATAGTATCGTAATTGTAGTGAATATACAGCAGTGTGGTATACAGTAGGCCATTCTACGTGACTTTACCAAAAGAACCAAGAAGATGAACCCCTGCAGTCACGAAAGCTTTAAATCTAAAAATACTACCCACTACCCTACACATCCACACCATACAACCACTCAGCACCATTACACTTCGCAACGACGCTTAACCACTGTACAGTGACACTACACAACCACTGTACACCACTCCACACTAACACTCTACAAAACCAGACCACACAACCAGACCACACAACCACACAGCACAACCACATTACACCATACCAGACAACCACCACAATACACAACCACACACTACACCACTACGCAACCACACACTACACCACTACACACCACACCACTACGCAACCACACTACGCAACACAACCACACCACTACGCAACACAACCACACACTCCACAACCACACACTACGCAACACAACCACACACTACACAACCACACACACTACACCACTACACAACCACACACTACGCAACACCACACACTACACAACCACACCCCGTAGGCGCCCTGTGCGCATTCCAGAGAGGGAGCCTGTGGCGACAAGCGGCCCTTGCAATCGACAACATCACCACCAACAACAACATCACCACCAACAACAACATCACCAACAACATCACCAACAACGACAGCGGCGGCCTCCATCGCGAGCGACAGCCCTGGGGGGGGGGGGGAGTCAATGAGCCAGGGGCCGCCTCACCAGAGGCCGCCTCACCAGGGGCCGCCTCACCAGAGGGCCGCCTCACCAGGGGCCGCCTCACCAGAGGGCCGCCTCACCAGGGGCCGCCTCACCAGAGGGCCGCCTCACCAGAGGGCCGCCTCACCAGAGGCCGCCTCACCAGAGGGCCGCCTCACCAGAGGCCGCCTCACCAGAGGGCCGCCTCACCAGGTGCCGCCTCACCAGGGGGCTGCCGCCACTGCTGAGGCCGCCGCTGCCGCCTCATCAGAGGGCTGCTGAGGCCGCTACCCGCGCACTCTGTGTGTGTAATTGTGTGTCACTGTGTGTGTGTCACTGTGTGTGTGTAGTTGTGTGTCACTGTGTATCACTGTGTGTGTGTCACTGTGTGTGTGTTGTTTTTAACTCCCCACGGCGATGCCCGAGACGCCCCCCACCCCGGCTCGCGAGCCTTTACCGAATAGACCCAAAGATTATAAACAATCAACAATCACGGCGATGTACGGCCCGTGACGTCATCCCACGAAGCACCTGCGTGACGTCATGACAAACAAACCGCGCGATGACATCATCGCACGAGGGCGCGTTTATGCGCGCGATTGGCGTGACGTCATCACGCACCCCTCCCCCCCGACCCACCCAGTTCCCCGACCAAACCGCGCGATGACGTCATCGCACGAGGGCGCGATCGACCCTACGTCATCGGCCCCCCTCCCCGACCCCCTCGGTGGTCGTTCATTGGCAGGTTAAAAAAAAGTTTCCGGTGAGAAACAGTTCAGCATAACGAGGTTAATGGCACTTTAGGTTCCGGACGCTCGTTTTTTTTTGCTAACACAGATCAAATCGGTTAAGATAAACCGATACCGTTATAAACGTTCCTTCTAAAGAAACAATTTAATACGCCTGCTACTAAGCGAAGCAAAGTTGTTTTCGTAAAATAAAATTAAACACGCATGCCCCCCGGAACGTTATTTACGTGGCGGAGCGGGAGGGAAACAGCAACCGCGGCGGTGACGTCACACCGTTGCCGTGGTAACGCGTGCGGAGTGGGGGGGAGTTGGGGGGGATGGGGGGGAGGGGAGTGGGGGTGATGGGGGGGAGTGTTATGGTGGGGTTGGGGGTGATGGGGGGAGTGTGGGTGATGGGGGTGAGGGGTGGGGTAATGGGGGGGAGTGGGGGGTGAGGGGTGGGGGTGATGGGGGGGAGGTGGGGTGATGGGGGGGGGTGATGGGGGTGAGGGGTGGGGGTGATGGGGGTGAGGGGGGGTGAGGGGTGGGGGTGATGGGGGTGAGGGGTGGGGTGATGGGGGGGGAGTGGGGGATGAGGGGTGGGGGTGATGGGGGTGAGGGGTGGGGGTGATGGGGGGAGTGGGGGGTGATGGGGGGGTGATGAGGGGGGTGATGGGGGGGGTGATGGGGGGGTGTGGGGGGGGTGATGAGGGGGGGGTGATGGGTGGGGGGTGATGAGGGGGGGGTGATGGGTGGGGGTGATGAGGGGGGGGTGATGGGTGGGGGTGAGGGTGGAGGTGATGGGTGGGGGTGAGGGGGGGGGTGATGAGGGGGGGTGATGGGTGGGGGTGAGGGGGGGGGGGTGATGGGTGGGGGTGAGGGGGGGGGTGATGGGTGGGGGTGAGGGGGGGGTGAGGGGGGGGTGATGAGGGGGGGTGAGGGGGGGGGTGATGGGGGTGGAGTTTGAATCGCGGCGGTTTCCGAGTCGCGAGCGAGCGGGCGCCGGACCGCGACCGTTTGACCGACCCCCTCCTCCTCCCCCTCCTCCACCCCCTCCAGTCGTCATCGTCGTTGTTGTCGTCGTTGTTGTTGTCGTCGCTCAACAACCCCCGCGAGACGCCGAGACTCCATGGAGCCCGGCGCGAGTCTGGGCGCAGCCCGGGAGCCCCCCCGCTGCGCCTCCTTCTTCACGGAGGGCGCCTGCGAGGCGCCGCCGCCTCAGCCCCCCTACAGGTTCGGGCCTACGGAGCGGCGCTCGCCTGCGCCTTAACCGCTTCGACGCGGCGGTTTAAAACTTTCACTTGTAATAATACATATCACTTGTCACGCGTGTGTGCGTGGCGACGTGTTGTTAACTACCTCGCCTGGTATCGCAGGGGCTCGATCCCGACCCTGACGACGCCTGCTGCTGCTGTGTATGTGGAGTTTGCGTCTCTCTCATCATCATCATCACGGTGGCTATGAGATGTTAACTACCTCGCCTGGTGTGCAGGAGGTCGTGGGTTCGATCCAGACCCTGACACCTGCTGTATATTTGGAGTTTGTCTCTCTCTCTCTCTCATCATCATCACGGTGGCTAGGAGATATTGACTACCTCGCCTGGTGTGCAGGAGGTCGTGGGTTCGATCCCGACCCAGACGACGCCTGCTAATGCTGCTGATTATTTGTAGTTTGTGTCTCTCTCTCATCATCATCACGGTGGCTAGGAGATGTTGACTACCTCGCCTTGTAGGCGGGAGGTCGTGGGTTCGATCCCAACCATGACACCTGCTGTATATTTGTAGTTTGCGTGTCTCTCATCATCATCATCGCGGTGGCTATGAGATGTTAACTACCTCGCCAGGTCTACAGGAGGTCGTGGGTTCGATCCCGACCCTGACGACGCCTGCTACTGCTGCTGTATATTTGTAGTTTGTGTCTCTCTCTCTCCCCGTGGTCGCGTGGATTTGCCTCCGGGCTGTCCCGTCCACATTTCGAGACGCGCGCTTCAAGAGGATGAGGCCGATCTGAATCTCCACACGGTGATCAGCCACTAAGTTTGGGCTTTCATTTGTGGCCAGGTCGCTTCTGAGCTATGCACATAGCTCAGTGGGCCCTTACCTGCTCAAAATCTGTAAACAAAAAACAACCAATAAATTTCGATTTAAAGCTTTCGTGACTGCAATGATTCATCTTCTTTGGTTCTTTCGGTAAAGTCACGTAGAATGAGAATAAAATAATAAATTGATAAAATAAAATAACACAATAATATTCTCGACTCTAAGCTATCCGTGGTGCTAAAGTTGAGGGTAAGAATCCACCCATTTTTTCGCCATATAGCATTGTGATATATAACGACTTATTCTTGGTAGCTTGGCTGATTGGAGAATATAGAGTTTATTGATAACATTAAGGTAATTTATATTTTAGTTTTTTTATTGGTTCACTATATAGTACTGTGAATAGCTCAGATGTGTAGGCCTTGACTTCAACATAGTCATTTCTGTGACCAGTCACTAGCTAATCACTCAGTTATTTCAATGCTAAATTCGCCTAGTTATTTCAATGCTAAATTCTCCTGTTTGATTTGTACTAAGTGCCTCGGTGAATGTGTATGCTCTGACTTTAACGTAGCTATTTCTGTGACCAGTTACAAGCTAATCATTCAGCTATTTCAATGCTATATTCTATGCTAATTCTATTGTCAAGGGGTGTGTCTGCGGATGTGTATGCTTTCACTTAGCAATTTCAATGCTAAATTCTATGCTAATTCCTTTATCAAGGGGTGTCTCTGCGGATGTGTATGCTTTAACTTTTAACATAGCTATTTCTGTGACCAGTCACAAGCTAATCACTCAGTCATTTCAATGCTAAATTATATGCTAATTCCTTTGTCAAGGCGCTTTGTTTCCTCTCACACAGCTTAAAGGTCGTGATCTGAATGTGGCTCTTTCACTCCAGCGCTGTCCTACCAGACAGTCTCGTCCCTTCACCTGATGAAGGCCGCTTGTGTTGTGGCCGAAACGTCGTGAGAATATTGTGTTATTTTATTTTATCAATTTATTATTTTATTCTCATTCTACGTGACTTTACCGAAAGAACCAAAGAAGAAAAAACCAATAGTTTAATCACGATGGCCTGCCTGCTTTCCATGCGAGCCACGAGGCCTTACTTGAGCATACTTCACCGCGCCGGTCATCACCGTCAACCCCATTAAACACCTCGGGGTTCCGCCCAAGCGAGAGCCTGCGACACTTCACGTGCCCCCCCCCCCGCCTCAGAGGTGCACCTAGCCTGGCACAAGCCACAGTGGCGTGACGGCGCTTGTTGTTGTTGATGGGTTCTTCGCGAACGCTGCGACATTAACGCAACTCGGAAGCACCCGACGCGATGCCCGACCCAGCAAGTACGAAGTGGGGGGGTGGGAGGGGGACATCACGCGATAGGGAATCAAGAGTTGCCCCACACCCGTTGAATGAATCCGATGAGCTATAAAGCTCTTTTGTTGTTGCCCCACGCCTCCGCTGCCGCTCCCACCTCGGGCACGTGGATGTGTGTGACCATTGTAATAGTCGTGGCTCTGCATCGGTAGCCGTGCGAAAGAAATAAGTAGCGGCAGAACCTCTGCACGATGCACGCAGGACGCAGTCGTCAACCCACACGAAAGGCCCCGTGTTCTTGTGCTGGGTTGTCGAGCATTCAGGGTCCCTGTGGCGTACGGCCGCTTCAAAACGGGGAACGACAAGAAAAAACACACGTCTTTGTGTTTCCCCCTTGCGATGGGACTTTGTAGGATGAACGTTGACATTTATAAGGGGCACGGGGTGATCAATAAAGGTCTGAAGTGGTCTGTGATAAGGTAGGGCACTGGTACGGGGTTGACAGGCTTGCGTTTCAGCCACACGCATATACCAGCGTGGTGAAGTATGGTTAAAAGAAGAAGAAAAACCCATTCGTGCAGATGCTTTTATCCATCTGTTGATTGAAAATGGCAGGAATTGTATTTATTAATATGATGCATTTGCTTACACAACCACACACAACCATACACTACACAACCACACACTACAGCACTACACACAACCACACACTACACAACCACACACTGCACCACTACACAACCACACACTACACCACTACACAACCACACACTACACCACTACACAACCACACACTACACCACTACACACAACCACACTACACAACAACACACTACAGCACTACACAACAACACACTACACCACTACACAACCACACACTACACCACTACACAACCACACACTACACCACTACACACAACCACACTGCACATCCACACACTACAGCACTACACAACAACACACTACACTACTACACAACCACACACTACACCACTACACACAACCACACACTACACCACTACACACAACAACACACTACACAACCACACACTACACCACTACACACAACCACACACTACACCACTACACACAACAACACACTACACAACCACACACTACACCACTACACAACTACACACAACCACACACTACACCACTACACAACCACACACTACACAACTACACACAACCACACACAACACAACCACACATTGCACCACTACACAACCACACACTACACACAACCACACACTACACAACCACACACTGCACCACTACACAACCACACACGACCTGCCGTATACCAGGCGTGGTAGTTAACATCTCCTAGCCACCGTGGCACCCTCAATCTCGTCGTCATTTTGCCATCCTACTCCTCGACTTGTCTGAAGCATTTGACACCGGTTCACTGCTGTCGCGTTGGAAAGGCTCAAATGCCAAACACATTTCAGATTGCGCAATCAACTCGCCGTGCAATTTCTCTGACCGATTTCCCATCGTCTCCGTCAAC